CACAAAGCTTGCCTGAATAATATAAAAAAACTGGAATTATCTCATGTATACTATGAGATCGTAGTACAATGAAAATAGAAATCAATGGCAAGAGAAACCACAGAAAGTTTACAGATACTCGAACATTAAACAACACATTTCTGAATATGCAGGAAGTTGAAGAAATCGAGGGAGAAATTAAATAATCCCTATATCAAATGATAATGCCAGTGTAGTATACCAGAACCTATGGGACACAATAAAAACAGTCTCTTTCCTTTGAGACAGGGTCTCACTACGTAGCTCACGCTGGCCTTGAACACAATGATACTCTTGCCTCAGCTTCTCAAGTGCTGGGACTTGGCAACAGCAGTTTTAAGAGGCATGTTTATTGCTATGAATGCTCTTGTCAAAAAAACACAGTGTGGCTAAGCATAGCAGCGCATGCCTGTAATCCCAGCACTTGGGAGGCTGAGGCAGGAGGATCACTGCACGTTTGAGGCCAGCCTGGGTTACAAAGTGAGTTCAAGGCCAGCCTGAATTATATAGTAAGACCCTGACTCAAAAGAAAGAAAGAAGAAAGGCAGTGTAAGTCCAAATAACCTAATGATGCACCTCAAATTCCTAGAAAATAAGATCAATCCAAACCTAGTACATGAAGGAAATCATAAAGATCAAGCCAGAAATTAATGAGACTTTAAAAATACAAAAATGAATCTAAGAGCTAATTCTTTGGAAAAATAAACAAAAAAGATAAACCCGGAGACAAATTTATCAAAAGAAGAAATACCCATATCAATGCAATTACAAATGCAAATGCAAGAGACACTGCTGAAATCCAGAAGATCGTTTGTTACTATGAAAACTCCAACAAATGAGACAATCTACAAGAAATGGACAGATTCATAGACATATGAATTACTAAAACTGAACCAAGAAAAAACTGAAACCTGAACAATCCAATAACAGAAAATGCAATTGAGGCAGTAATTAAAAAGTCTAGGATCTGATGGATTCACCACGGAATTCTACAAGAAATTCAGAGAAAACATAATACCAATACTCCTTAAATGCTATAATGAAATTGAAATGGAAGATATACCTCAAAACTCATTCCTGGACACTAGTATTATTGTGATTCCAAAACCAGACAAGGATGCAACTAAAAAAGAAAAGTACAGGCCAACTCTTTAATGAACATAGAGGCAAAAATCCTCAACAAGATTCTGGCAAATAGAATGGCAACAAATTATCAAAAAGATCACACATTATGACTAAGTAGGTGTCACTGCAGGGATGCAAGAATGGTTCAACACAGGCAAATCAATAAATGTAACTTGTCACATAAACACAAGTAAGTAGAAAAGTCACAGGATCATCTCAAAAGACACAGATCTAGTCTCTGACAAAATCCAACAGCCACTCAGGATAAAAACGCTAAAGAAAAAAGTAAAGGACTTTATATTAATCTAATTAAAGTAATTTATGACAAACCTACTGCCAACATCATTTAAATGGAGAAAAGCTGATAGCTTTCTCTTTAAAATCAAGAACAGGACAAGGATGTCCTTTATTACTACTCCTGTTCAATGATTCCTTGAAGCATTAGTTACAGATATCAGGCAAGCAATAAGTAGAGCTGGTGTGGTGGTGCATGCTTGTAATCCCAGCACCAGGAGACTAAGCAGGATGATCACCATAAGTTTGAGTCCAGCCTGGGATACGTAAGCAAGTTCCAAGTCACTTTGGATTATATAGTGAGACCTGTGTCAGAAACAAACAAACAAACACCCCTCTCCTCACAAAAGCAACATCAGGGACAAAAAAATAAAAGGGTTATGTACAGAAAAGGAAAAAGTCAAATTATCATTATTGGTAGATGACATCTTCCTGTACACAGAAGATCCAAAAATTCAACCAAAAGACTGCTAGACAAACAGCATGGCAGGACGTAAAATCAACACCTAAAACCAATAGGGTTCCTATACACCAATAATGAATTCACTGAAAAAAAATTAGGAAAACAATACCATTCACAATAGCATCAAGAAAAATTAAATTCTTAGGAATAAACCTAAGCAAGGAAGCAAAAGACTTCTACAATGAAAACTATACTACTACGAAAAAGGAGATAAAAGAGGACACCAGAAAATGGACAGCTTCCCTCTTGTCAGGATTTGTGTCTAGATGTCCTTCCAAAGTCTCATGTGGTTTCAGGGCTTTTTCAGAGGTGGCTGAATCTAATACGTGTGACGCTGGGATTCAGAGTGCAGAATGAGTAAACCACCGACTGGCTTGGCGTAGTTGTGGCTAGGATTAAAGGTGTGAGTCTACACCCGCCTGAGGGCAGGCGGTGGGCATAGACTGCAAGGGACGCCAAGTCTTGTCTCCCATGCTTGTTGCTTTTGCCGTCTTCTGCTGCCATAAACTACTGCCCTCGCCATGTGGTACCTTGCCCTGAATCCATGTGACATGGACTGTAACCTCTACAGACTGTGACCTAAATAAACCTTTCCTCCTTTAACTTTGGATGTTGGATATTTTGTCTCAACAATGAGACATAGGAAAGGACTTTCTGAACAGAACCCCTACTACATAAGTAATAGCATCAAGAATCAACAACTGGGATTATATCAAACCAAAAAACTTGTGTATATTTTGCTAGGTTTTCCTCAGATAGAGGGCTAATATCTAGAATATATAAAGAACTCAAAAAATAATCAGATGCCCTCAATAAAAGAGCCAATCAAAAAATGGGCAGCTGATATGAAGACACTTCTCAGAAGTATAAATGGTCAATAAACATATGAAAAAAATGTTCAATGCCTCCAGCCATCAGAGAAATGTAAAGTAAAACAACACCTGAGGTCCCATCTTAATCCAGAAAGAGTGGCAATCATCAAAAAATCAAATAAAAAATGCTGGCAAGGCCTCTTGGGAAAAGAGCATCCTTTGACAGTTTTGATGGGAATGTAAACAACCAGCATGCAAATCAGCATGAAAAAACAAAACAAAGTAGAAATTCCATTCAACCCAGTTATTCCCCCTTCTAAGGATCTTCTCAAAAGTTACAGACATCGGGGCTGGAGATTTAGCTCAGTGGCATAAGCGCCTGCCTTGCAAGCAGGAAGTGAGTTCGATCCCTGGTACCGATAAAAACGAAAAAGACAAAGACATCATACTACAGTGACCCATACATACCGGTGTTTATAAAAGCACCACTCATTACAGCTAAATCTTGGGATCAGCCTGTATATGTACCAAGAGATGAACAGTACAGAATGCGTGGTATGATATAAAATAGAGTACTACTCTGCCACAAAGAAGGATACACCTGAGGTATTTGTAGGAAGATGGATACACCTTGAGACCAGAATGTTAAATGAAATAAATTCATCACAGAGCTTAATATCACATGGTTTGTCTTATATAAAAAATCCAAAATACAAACAATTTTAAAAATTAAAATAAAAGATCGACAATAGGAAACAGGGAGACAGATCTTTTGTAAATGGGAAAGGGATCTAGATATGGTCCGAGGAGAGAGGAAGACGAGGGAAAGGGGGAAAGTAATTAAGACATGTTAAGTACATGTATCTACTCCCTATGATAATGGCAACATTACCAACTGCAAAAGCATGTACTAATAACCCCCCCAATAACACACCATTCATTTAAAAATGTAATCCCTTAAGCAACTAACCAACTATATAAAGATAATATCAATGAAGTCACAATAAATTAAAATGGGAGAATAAAAAACGTTCAAATAACCCAAAAAGTCAGAAGAAAGTTTTTTTTTCAAAACCACACCCTAAACCAAGTGTGAGATTACACACCTGTAATCCAGCACTCTGGGAAGCTGAGGCGGAGGATCACAAGTTCTAGCCCAACCTCAGCAACTTAGCAAGACCCTCCCTCAAAAAATAAAAAAGGACTGGGGATATTGTTTAGTGCAAAGGCCGTGGGTTCAATTCCTAATTCCACTTAGAAAAATTACAGATCACTATTCCTCCTAAATACAAAAATCTTCAGCAAAATAGACAACCAACTCCATCCAGGTATATAAAAAAGTACAGTGCACCAGGACCGAGTGAAGTTATTACTGGGGAATCAAGACTAGTTCAATATTCAAAAATCAATTAATACAGTCTACCATATTAACAGCCTAAACAATTTTTTTAAAACCTGTATAACTGACAGATGCAGGAAAAAAAATGATAAAATTCAGCATTCATTCATGATAAAATATTCCATCCAAAAAAAGAACTTCAAGACGATGAAGAATATCTTTAAAAGGTCTCTAGCTACCATTATCTGCAGTGATGAAAGGCTGCCCCTTTCCTCCAAGACCAGTAACAAGGCAAGCACGTCCATTCTCACCCCGCTCGACCAACAAGGTGCCGCACGCCAAGGTAATGTGATGAAGCAAAAGAAAACTAAGAGGCGGAGAGACTGGAAAGTAAGAAACAAAACTGTCTCTTCTTGCAGATGACATGGTTGTCTACATAGAAAACCCTAGGGAATCTTGAAGAAAATGCCCAGAAAAAGGTGAGATACACTTTTAACAAGGTCATATAGTATAAGGTCAACATAAAAGTCTGCCCTGTTCCTATACACCAGTGACGGCGAACTTTTAGAGCTTTCAAGATACAAACAGTCCACTGTGTGTGCATGCTACGGGTTCACCACCACTCTACATATTCTCCATGTGCAACTAGAACATAATTATTTGTGTAGGATACATTTCAGTGAGCTAGCTTTAAGTCATTCGACTGATTCTCACTCTGACATATACCTAGTTAGAAGGTAGATGTAACTGCTTCCAGGTAATCCACAAAGTAGACAACTGACAACTACCTAATAATCCATAATTATCAATTACCTACTTTGTAAGTTACCCGGAAAAAGTTCCTGGTCCTTATGTAAATGCAGTTGTTAGGCTGGGAGGGACCCTTCCTTCTAGGAGACTGTGCTAACGGATGACTTGAACGGAGGGCAGTTCCGTCTCTCCTACTTACTGCTTTGGCCTTTCCTGAGAGCACCAGGCTCCTCTTCTTCCTCAAGCAGCTCAGCACTGCGCAGAAGAGCACGGATCTCCGGGTGCAGGTCATCCACACCTGCCTCCCCTGAGGCCAAGGCTCGGCAGTGCAGCACCAAGGCAACATCTCGGTTGTAGAAGTGAAAATACCGGCACACTCTGCTTGCCTCGTGCACTCGTCCATCGTCCAGCAGGCACCCAATCAGAAAGTGCAGTGATTCCTGCTCCTTCCTGTCGAGCTTACTTTCACACGTCTCTCTGGACGGAAGGCCAGTGAGTTCCAAGTATTTAGGTGTGTTCAGAACAGCCAACCTGGAGAAGGAAAACTCACTGGCTAAGTTATCAAAGGAAAGTTCACCACCAGCTGAGATCTGTTGAGAAAATCTGGGCTCTGCTTCCTGCTGCTGCCCTCGGAGGGTGTGCTGGGTGATACGGCAGACCCAGAGCTGCTCCTCCAGCTCCTCTAGCTTGTCCAAGGGCACTGGGTCCTCCTGCGCAAGCCAGTGCCCAGCCAGGGTGAGCAGCAGATGGCGCTCCTCAGTGCTGCCTCTTCCAGCTGGGCACTCAGAGGCCACACGGGCCTGGGAGGAGAAAAAGGAAGAAGCTGCTTGGTTTGAAATGGAATTCTTCTTGAAATTCTCATGGCATTTTTTCCAGAAGTCAAGTCTTGCTTGTTCCAGGGACCACTGTTTGTTGTGCTTTAGTACCTGCATTTCCTGTGTTATCTGTGAAATTTAACAAGCAAATTTTAGCCTTTTCAGATAATAAAGTATTGGAACTATTAATGCTAACATACATCATAACTGCTAAAATCAAATTAACGACCTATGAAGTTCAAGAGGGAGCGTCCATATATTTAATTCTACTCAGAGGGAAATAATTGTAGCATATTCTTCAGGCTATACTTACATTCTTCAATGGTGAACATCTTAGGTTCATCCCATTCTGGAAATAATTGTATGCCAAGGGTATAAAGGAAGCCAGGTGTGGTGGTACACATCTGTAATCCCAACTCCTTGGGAGGCTAAGGCAGGAGGATGGCAAGTTCAATGCCAGCCTGGGTAACTCTGGAATACTTTGTCCCCAGAAGAAATTTAAAGGGACTGGGGACTGCTTAGCATCAGTGGGGCACTGGTTTCAATCCCCAGGTTTGTAAGAAAAAACCAGAAACGATTAAAAAGTTGAATAATTTTAAAAAGATTAATGATACCTCTTCAATAACCAAGTTGTCCACAGGTAACTCAGCTAATTCGGCTATTCTCCTTGCCAAAGCAAACTGTCCATCTGTCTGCAGTCTTTCCAAAATAGATCTACATTCATGCTGAAAACTTTCAATGCTGTAGCTGGTAATAACTGTATGATTAATGGGTATGGATGTATCCTTCAAAATCTGGCTAAGGACACACAGCTTCTTTACATCTGGATCTGTGCCAAAGAGAAGAGGATATAAATATTTAACCAGTAAAACACTGCTCTGATATTTCAAGAGTAATGAAATAGCAGGGGAAAAATAGGTATTGGATTGAACTCACGACCACACGCTTGCAAGGGAGGAGGCGCTTATGCCGCTGAGCTAAATCCCCAGCCCCAAAATAGGTATGTTTAATGTATTAGTGTGATTAAGGGAAAAACAAAACTACATTTTTCTACTCTAACAGAAGCCATTTCACAGTTCCTATAGACCAACGATATCAAAATTTGGCCCTGCAAAATCCTTACTGGTAAAGTCTAGCTGAATTTAACTTTCCCTACAGTAAGAAGTCCTAAAGATTAGCACATGGGCTCAATCTATACATTTGACGTTAGATACAGGGCACAGGACGGTGGCCTAGAATGTCATAAGTGGCAAAGCAGTAATTCGGGATGATTTTGGTTACTCAGGCTGGTCCCATCTCTTTCTAGATTTTTCTTTACCTTGATCAAATTTGTTTGAATACTGTTCATTTATTCAGTGCAGGCATCATGTGGACTGAGACAAAGAACATGTAAGACAGCTGAAATTGGTCATACTAACGCCGGTTTTAATGTGGCATAGTACATTCAGAATGGAACACCATTTGCTTGCTATTGACTTAGCATAAGGAAACTTGGCTGGGTTCTCCCTGAAAAATTTTTTTTGGTCTTTTTCGTTTTTATCGGTACCGGGGATCGAACTCACGCCTGCCTGCTTGCAAGGCAGGCACTTATGCCGCTGAGCTAAATCCTCAGCCCCTCTCCCTGAAAATTTATTGTCTTAATAATACTAAAAATTCTCTGCCAGAAAAAGGGATAAAGGTGTAGCTCAATACAACAGCACTTGTCTAGCATGCATGAGGCACGAGGTTCTTTGGGAAGACCACTATGAAGCGGTTCTGAGCAGGATTTAAAATTAACTGATTGGCTCTCTATGCTTATCTGTGAGTCTGTTCTAGGCCAAGGTCCCTTGCCTGGTGACGGGAGCTGATTCATAGTAACTGAACCTCTATGATCACTGGTTCTGGCTGAGGCTGTGAGGTCAGAGATACCTCAAAGGGCACGATAAGGCCACAGCTGTGGACACTTGGCTCAAATATCAATTAAGCAGATAGAGACTGCAGCTGCAGGAATTATTCCTATGGTCTTACTCCTACCATGTCTTCCTGATAAGACAGTTCTAATGAACTGACTTGATTCATTACTTGGAGATGACCTTGAAGTGATTCTCAAGGTCCTGCTCATTGCCTGCGCTTTCCTCAGTTTCCCCAACCCCTGTTGTTGGACCTAATAAATAAAGTGGCTGGTCCAGAGAAGTCTTTGTCTTAGCCCTCGGAGTCTTGAGCTCAGCTAAAGGGTTTTGACCCTTAGAGCCTTAAAATCGTATCCCTTGTCTTATTTTATTTAAACCTCTGCTGTACACTCGTTTGGGAGATTGGGGATCTAGGTCAGGACCCAATAGGTCAATGTCAGTATTGTTAAAAAAAAATTAAATAAACAAGTAAAATGTCTTGGAGCTAGGCATGGTGGTAAGCATCACCATGTAATTGCAGCAGCTGAGACAGGAGGATTGCTATGAGTTCGAGGCCAGCCTGGGCTATACACAGTGAGTTCAAGGCCAGCCTGAACTATAAAATGAGACACTGACTCAGAGCAATGTGCTAGAGACGCAGCAGTAGCACAGCACTTGCCTCCCAGGTGTGAGGACCTTACTTCAACCCCCAGTACTAAAAAAATGTCTGCCAGAAACTGGGTGCGGTGTTGTACGCATGCAATCCCAGCACTTGGGAGGCTGAGACAGGACAATTGCAAGTCTGAGGCATGCCTGAGGAACTCAGCAAGACCCTGTCTCGAAAATAAAAAGTGTTTGAGATGCAGCTCAGTAGCCCTGGGCTAGTGAAAGTCTAGTATAAAGGTATATCATCATCATTTTAAAAAACCTGATATTATTAAACAAGTGAAGAGAATAATAATTCTTTTGATTAAATAAGCATTAAGCTTAGAGACTGCCAACATCTGGAAGACTAGGGAGGAAAAAAGCATAATTTGTCTCTGAACTTTCCAAAGCAAGTTATGCATTTGTGAAGTTATGCAGTTTGTAGCCCTGGGCAAGGTTCTCACAGACAGAAGAATGACAGTGACATGTCAATGCAGGGGCCTGCCAGGGCGAAGCAGAGCTGTCTGACAACTGCTTGGAATAAGAAGACTGTTGGTATTTTTTACACTGGGTGCGGTTGTGCCATGTTTTGAATGTTCAACCCAAATTTGAAGTTACCTGTAACTCGTCTCTAGACTATAAATGTAACATTACCTGTCATCTGCATACTTATTTCCTGGCTGCCCTCCTAAAATATTTTCAAGATTAAGCAAGCCAACTACTATTGTGTGTGTGTGTGTGTGGTAACAGGGATTGAACCCAGGGCTTTCAAACTGAGCTACAGCCTCACCCACCCACCACGATCCGACAGTAATTTCATTCTGAGACAGGGTTTCACTAAGTCACGCAGGTTGGGCTTGAACTTTCAGTCCTCCTGGTTCAGCCTCCCAGAGTGCTGGACTTACAGCTGTGTACTACTACTCAGCGAAAGAAGTGACTTCTTCATGGCAACTTCAGGGCAGGCACTGTCTTACCGTCTGAGAAGAGATGCTCTGCTCCAACAAACAGCTGTAAGAGCTTCCCCAGCTCATACTGCGTCTGACACTGCTGTGGCATAAGCTTTAATAGGAAACACACTTGGTCCCTCAGCCACAGGGCAGGAAGCACAGGGTGGACCCTTGTAGTTGCTGTGTCAAGCTATAAAAAAAAAAGGGTAAAAGGAAGAGGCTCAGGCAGAATGATTCACAGGAATAACAAATCAAAGTCCCCAAACCAGAGAACAAGCAAGTCAGGAAATCAGAAGAGTAACTTCTCATCACAAAAGGGGACGCTTATGCAGATGATTTCTAAACAGCAGGGATGAGTGAGGGAGCTCAGAGGACAGGCGGGAAGAAGCCCTCTTTGGCAGCTCTGTGTGTGATCTCTCTGTGGTCAGTCTCAGTGCAAAGAGCTGCATGTGTGAAGGGCACGAGTCCCTTGCATGACACAACACACGGCCTCTCCTCCATGGGGGACTGAACCTGCGGCTTCATACATGCTGCGCAAGCAAGGATGTTCTTTCCACCAAGCTGCATCCCAGCCTTAAGGTCCTAAAGACCGAGTGCTAACTAGAGAGCTCCTCTAGCTTCCTCCCAATCTGTCAGTTAACAGCCCTCTGAGGTGCTCTGATACTGATCAGACAAGCTTCACCTAGAAGTCCCTCAACTTTTTTTTTTTTTGGTTTTTTGAGACAGAGTCTTACTATGTGGCCCAGAATGACCTCAAATTCACAGCGATCCTCTTGCCGTCACCTCCTGAGAACAGGAATTGCAGGCACATGCCACAGTGTTTAGTGGCAGCTTCTTTAAGAGACCTAGGGTTGACCTTAAGTCCAGAGAATTTTAAATTCACATCATGAAGGCTGCTTAGCCTTGTTTATTTTTTATTTATTTTTTTTTTATTTCTTTAAATTTTATTTAAGAGGAAAAAGAGAAAAACACAAAACAAAACAAAGTGGTGTAAGGGTACACGTAATACAGAACTACAAAAAAAAACATAATAGTAAGAAATCACCTGCTAATAGATTACATATTATCATCTTGGAAATAGTTGCTCAAATCACAGTATCAAAGAATACAAAGTGAACATTCAAACAGAGAGACTGCAAACAGCTGTGTTCAATGATCCAAAAACATTAATATAGTCAGCTATTTAACACCCCTAAACACAATTGCTGTTATATCCATAGAGCTCTTTTTTTTTTTTCCTTCTCTTTTTTACAACAAAATTTACACATTTTGGATTTTATTACTCCTAGTCCTTATTACTTTTTTGGGGGGAAGAGAATATAGTCAAATATGGAAAACAAAGCTGCCACTCAAAACCAAGGATAGACATAGCACATGATGTAGAACAGAGTACAAGGTTATCAACAATGGTTATCAAAATTGTCTCTTGTTTCCTTAAAAAGAATAGTCTATCTCATTAGATATTATAAAGTTGGACAAAACAGTAGAGAACAAGACCAATAAAACTTAGGCATTGTAAACATTACAGGACTTCCAAAGGAGACAACAGTCAAACCAGAATGGGCATCTTAGTGAATCTTATTGCCTTCAAAGTAGGTGCTTATACCCTCAAACTTGATACTATCATATAGAATGGAACAGAGTCTAATCAGTCAAAACAAGATCGTGGGGGTATTACAGGACTTCAAAACAAGTTAACAGTAAATCAAAAAGAGTTACTATAATATATGCTAATTAAAAAAATTTTTCCCCTTAATTAAAAAACATAAGAAATAACTAAATAATTTTTTTAAAGAATAAGGGAGTGTTGGGAGCCGCAGCCCCGAGCCCGGTCGCCTCACTTGGCGGACGTGAGGCCTGTAGTAAAGAGTGAGGCCTGAGGTAGATTACCCCTCCCATCGAATATGTTAGTTTCCTGCTTACCGCGTAAACAACCCGCTCAACAATATAGTCTGCCTGGCAACTGATGATGTTAGCCAATCAGCTTGCCTTGCTTACTTTAACATGATTGGACACTGTACCCGTATATATACCGGTGCCACCCCTGGGCGGAAGAAGAAGCCAGGTAGAAGCCCGGAAGTAGAAGCCCAAAAGGAGCCGCGGAGAGCGGACCGGTAGAGGCTTTGGGGCAGACTGAAGCACAAAAGGAGCCGCGGGGAGCGGACCAGAGGAGGCTTCAGCTGGGAGAACCCAGGGCAGGCTGTACGGAGAAGAAAAATAAAAAGAAAAGGTTGTCCACTACCAGACTTTGTCGTGTGTCCTTCCTGCCGGCCGGGAGCGGACATCGACATTTGGAGGCCCGCCCGGGGACTGATCACCCCCGAGACGTGGAAGTGGACAACGCTCCAGTACAGAGCTGCGAGACAGGTGAGTTGGGGATAAGCCTGGGCTCTGGGTGGCGCGCACCTACAGGGCTTTTAGACTCCCCTCAGGCTCACGCGTAAGTGGCGGATTCCTTGGGCCTCACGCGGTGAGTAACATATTAAAAGATGGGAAACATGTTAGGTAGCAACACTAAGAGCGAGGGTGGTTGTGGAGAAAGCTCTCAAGAGCTTACAAAAGTACGCAGGGTATCTGAGCAGGCCCAGTCAGGGAGCTCCCGAGAGGTGTCTGTCAAGGGGAACAAGGATGCTAAGGAGGAGGACGGGGCTCTAGCCTCGGAGTCGTCTGACTCCGAGGACGAGGGAAAGTTGAATGGCAAGGAGGCCAAAGAGACCAGCTGTCAGGAGCCTAAATCGCTCGATAAGGAGTCGCAGGGTTCTTTACCTTGGGGGCCGTTTCCGGAGGCGATTCCTCGCCACGAGGCGGCCGCCTGGGAGCTCTCTCCCCTTTCGCCAGAACAGGAAGTGATGCACGGGCCCCCATTTTCCGCCCAATCACGGCCGCTGTCTTATGCTCCGCCGCCGGCGGGTCGGTATTTTTACAGGCGGCTTTGGCAGGGGGGACGCTTGTCTCATGAGGTACATCCACCTGGGATAGATAGTGGCCCCTACGAGATATTTCCTGTACAAGTAGCTATGGGCCAGGGACGCAATGTATGGGAGCCTTTTGAGATAAAGCAGATTAGAGAACTTAAAAATGCAGTTACAACCTTTGGGCCGACTGCCCCTTACACCATTGCCATGCTGGAGAACCTGTCTTCTGGGCCCCTCACCCCCGCGGACTGGATTCAGCTGGCAAAAGCGTGTCTGCCCTCGGGCAGTTACCTGGATTGGCGAGCCTGGTACGCAGAGTTCTCTGCAGAGCAGGCTGAGAAAAACGCCGGTCGAGGAAACGGGGGCTAGAGATTTAGCTCAGCGGCATAAACGGGGGCTGGGGATTTTCGATCCCTGGTACCAATAAAAAAAAAAAAAAAAAAAAAAAAAAAAAAAACGAAAAAGATAAAAATAAAAAACAAAAAGGGGGAGTAAGCCAAGGCCTGCCTCCAAAGGCGCGGTTATCTATGACAGGACAATGGATGGGCCCGGATCCAGTGGTCAGCTGGAACCGAGGCGCGGTTTGTGTTTTCCCACAGGAACCGGGACGAGAACCACTGTGGATACCGGAGAGACTGACACGGGCAACAAAGCCCTCGACTGAAGATCAGACCTGCCCTACTGGAGATCCATCACAGACCAACCAATAAGATGAATAGAAATAGCGGTAGCCCGAAATGGACAAGAAGATCCTCAGGCATATGCATGGCTTGCTCAATTGGCCCACGACCGAGTCTAGATATGGCGGGCATCCCTCATTCTCCTCCATAAGGTGACAATACACAGCAGGGTAGGTGAGTCAATGACGGGTAAGAGCGTGCCTCCCCAGCACGACTCGACCTAAGCCAGGCCCTACCCCATCCTGCACGTAAGCCGCTGGACTGTTAGATGCTGCCCAGGTCTAAATTTCTCTCCGAGGGGATTTCTTTACGGAGAGGAAATGAGTGCAAGCTTGTGTGCATCCAGGTTCCGTCCAGTTTGTGCCTGGCCCTAGAAAAAGGACGAGGGCCTCAGGGCCTTGGCAGACCATGGGACGGCCGACCAGGGTCTAAGCCAAGGACCTACGGTGGGCCTACGCATAGGGCATAAGCCTCTGCACCCAGTCCAGGAAGGGCTACGATGCGCACATTCATAAAAAATAAAAAAGGGGGAGATGTTGGGAGCCGCAGCCCCGAGCCCGGTCGCCTCACTTGGCGGACGTGAGGCCTGTAGTAAAGAGTGAGGCCTGAGGTAGATTACCCCTCCCATCGAATATGTTAGTTTCCTGCTTACCGCGTAAACAACCCGCTCAACAATATAGTCTGCCTGGCAACTGATGATGTTAGCCAATCAGCTTGCCTTGCTTACTTTAACATGATTGGACACTGTACCCGTATATATACCGGTGCCACCCCTGGGCGGAAGAAGAAGCCAGGTAGAAGCCCGGAAGTAGAAGCCCAAAAGGAGCCGCGGAGAGCGGACCGGTAGAGGCTTTGGGGCAGACTGAAGCACAAAAGGAGCCGCGGGGAGCGGACCAGAGGAGGCTTCAGCTGGGAGAACCCAGGGCAGGCTGTACGGAGAAGGAAAATAAAAAGAAAAGGTTGTCCACTACCAGACTTTGTCGTGTGTCCTTCCTGCCGGCCGGGAGCGGACATCGACAAGGGAGAGATTGAGATAAGCTCCAACATGGCGTGGATCTCAGGAGACACTGCTAGATCTCCCCCTGGAAGGGCTGCAGGCTGCCACCCTGCCTCCACTCACAGGGAGGGGAGATGCTGGCTTGGCTTCCCAGAGACCTAAGCTCCAACAGGGCTAGGATCTCAGGAGACACTGCTAGTTCTCCCCCTGGAAGGGCTGCAGTGGGCTAAACTACTGCCGCTTACCAGGGAGGGGAGGTGCTGGCTTGGCTTCCCAGAGTCCTAAGTTCCAGCATGGCGTGGATCTCAGGAGACACTGCTAGTTCTCCCCCTGGAAGGGCTGCAGGCTGCCACCCTGCCTCCACTTACAGGGAGGGGAGATGCTGGCTTGGCTTCCCAGAGTCCTAAGTTCCAGTATGGCGTGGATCTCAGGAGACGCTGCTAGTTCTCCCCCTGGAAGGGCTGCAGGCTGCCACCCTGCCTCCGCTTGCAGGGAGGGGAGGTGCTGGCTTGGCTTCCCAGAGTCCTAAGTTCCAGCATGGCGTGGATCTCAGGAGACACTGCTAGTTCTCCCCCTGGAAGGGCTGCAGGCTGCCACCCTGCCTCCGCTTGCAGGGAGGGGAGGTGCTGGCTTGGCTTCCCAGAGTCCTAAGTTCCAGCATGGCATGGATCTCAGGAGACACTGCTAGTTCTCCCCCTGGAAGGGCTGCAGGCTGCCACCCTGCCTCCGCTTGCAGGGAGGGGAGGTGCTGGCTTGGCTTCCCAGAGTCCTAAGCTCCAGCATGGTGTGGATCTCAGGAGACACTGCTAGTTCTCCCCCTGGAAGGGCTGCAGTGGGCTAAACTACCGCCGCTTACCAGGGAGGGGAGGTGCTGGCTTGGCTTCCCAGAGTCCTAAGTTCCAGCATGGCGTGGATCTCAGGAGACGCTGCTAGTTCTCCCCCTGGAAGGGCTGCAGGCTGCCACCCTGCCTCCGCTTGCAGGGAGGGGAGGTGCTGGCTTGGCTTCCCAGAGTCCTAAGTTCCAGCATGGCGTGGATCTCAGGAGACACTGCTAGTTCTCCCCCTGGAAGGGCTGCAGGCTGCCACCCTGCCTCCGCTTGCAGGGAGGGGAGGTGCTGGCTTGGCTTCCCAGAGTCCTAAGTTCCAGCATGGCGTGGATCTCAGGAGACACTGCTAGCTCTCCCCCTGGAAGGGCTGAAGTGGGCTAAACTACCGCCGCTTACCAGGGAAGGGAGGTGCTGGCTTGGCTTCCCAGAGTCCTAAGTTCCAGCATGGCGTGGATCTCAGGAGACGCTGCTAGTTCTCCCCCTGGAAGGGCTGCAGGCTGCCACCCTGCCTCCGCTTGCAGGGAGGGGAGGTGCTGGCTTGGCTTCCCAGAGTCCTAAGTTCCAGCATGGCGTGGATCTCAGGAGACACTGCTAGTTCTCCCCCTGGAAGGGCTGCAGGCTGCCACCCTGCCTCCGCTTGCAGGGAGGGGAGGTGCTGGCTTGGCTTCCCAGAGTCCTAAGTTCCAGCATGGCGTGGATCTCAGGAGACACTGCTAGCTCTCCCCCTGGAAGGGCTGAAGTGGGCTAAACTACCGCCGCTTACCAGGGAAGGGAGGTGCTGGCTTGGCTTCCCAGAGTCCTAAGTTCCAGCATGGCGTGGATCTCAGGAGACGCTGCTAGTTCTCCCCCTGGAAGGGCTGCAGGCTGCCACCCTGCCTCCGCTTGCAGGGAGGGGAGGTGCTGGCTTGGCTTCCCAGAGTCCTAAGTTCCAGCATGGCGTGGATCTCAGGAGACACTGCTAGCTCTCCCCCTGGAAGGGCTGAAGTGGGCTAAACTACTGCCGCTTACCAGGGAAGGGAGGTGCTGGCTTGGCTTCCCAGAGTCCTAAGTTCCAGCATGGCGTGGATCTCAGGAGACACTGCTAGTTCTCCCCCTGGAAGGGCTGCAGGCCGCCACCCTCTTAGCCTTGTTTATTACTGCCAAATTGGTTCTACTACATATTTTGCTGGTATAATACTTTACATTTTTGTTGAATAAAGTTTTCAAGCCAAGAAGCCTGGACTTCTCATTTCAATCACACACTAAAACTACTAAGAGGATGACTGAGGAGCAGGCTGCCCACAAGTGGGTAGCAAAGATATCGAAGACACTGTGCCTGACACTCTGAGGAGTGTGCTGTCCCACATGATGCTCCTTTTGTCCACTGCTGATTTTTATTTGTTCCCTTTCTTTGTATTATTTTTGCAAGACTAATATTTGGCGCTTAGTCACTGTATTTTTGTATTTCATGGTTCACTGTACACTTTGTACAACATAATAAAAATACTGAGCCTTGAAGTGGAATAAAAAAGTTAACTGCTGAACTGGGTTCAGCTATACACACTTGTAATCTCCAGTACTCTGAAGGCTGAGGTAGCAGAACTGCAATATTGGTCAGGGCAACTTAGTGAAACCTTGTCTCAAGAAAATAAACAAAAACACAACACAACCAAACCAAAAGCAGGGTGTTATGGTTTGTGTCTGGATGTCCCCCCAAAGCCTCATGCATGTGGTCATGGGAGTATGCTTCTAGAGTTTGTGACTGATTCATGGTCCAATGCTGGGATTATGGGTGCTACCTCCGCCTTAGGGTAATTATGGGTGCTACATCCACCCTAGGGTGATGAGTAGCCTACACATACTATAAGGGACAGAAAGAATCTTCTCTCTGGCTCCCCGCTTTTTGCTCTTGTTGCTTGTACTGTTTTCCACTGCCATGAACTGTTCCCCTTTGCCATGCTGCCCTGCCTTGGACCTAGCAGATTATGGACTGAAATCTCCAAAAACTGGGAGCTAAATAGACCTTTCATTCTTTTGGTTGGTTTTATACTATTTTGTTATATTTGATATTATTGTGTATGGAGACATGGTCAACTATTTTGAGAAAACAAGAGATATTATGGTAGCCACTGTTAATATCCTGCTGTCTTGTGTTGAAGTCCTGTGTTGCTTACATTGTTCTGTTCTGATTTGCTTTGTTCTGTTTTGTTTTGTTTTATTCTCTTTAAAATTAAAAAAAAAAATTTTAAAAAACCCTTTCCTTCCCTAATTTTGGGCATCAGGTATTTTTGTCTCAGTTACAAGAGAAAAGTAACCAACACACAGGGCTTAGTAGCACATGTCATACTTATAATTCCAGCACTGAAAGGCTGAGGCAGGAGGACTGCAAGTTCAAATACAGCCTGGGCAACTTAGTGAGACTCTAACTCAAAATAAAAAGAAATTTACACAGGGCTGGGATGGTGCTCAGTGCAAAGGCCATCGCTTCAATCCTCAGGACTGCCACAGGAAAACAAAAGTCACTCTGAAAGTATAACAATACCCACAGAGGACTTTTGGCTGAAATGTAGATTGCAATACTGCCTTTAAAGGAATGCCCACACTGCCAGTGTCTCCAGTTAACGAATGGCTTATAAAATCCCATATTGTATTACTGCTGTCTCCTTACTACAATTTGGAATTTTCTTCACTACTCTCTTTCCCAGATTCTGTATAGTCCTGCCTGTTTTTCATTCTCCTTTCTTAAATTTCAATATTGCTTACCTGCCATTTTTAATTTTAATTTTATTTTTTTTACTTTTTGAGGCAGGATCTTCTTGTACTGTTCTTATACTGCTCAAACTGACTGACCTTGTGGGCTCAAGTGCCTTCTCCTTCAGGTTCCCAAGTAGCTGGGCATGTGGCACCATTCTGGGCCATCCATTATCATTAAAGGAAGATTATTTTACTTTAGAGGTGCTTCCTCACTGCTATGCAAGGTGATGACAATGAGAACAACAGAATAGGAGGCAGCTCCCCATCTGCGCCTGCTCCTGCTTAGATACGGTGGCGGATGCTTGCTTTCCAGCAAGCCTCTGACTTAATGGATATTTAAGTCACGAACTTTCACAGGTATATTGTATAAGACTCATTTTCTTGGCTTATTTGTTCTTAAGTCAGATTTGTGGACTTATAAACAATTCTCCTGGAATGGAGAAGGACTGACTGTTCAAAAATCAAAAGTTATATAATACATCTATTCTTGACTCTTTATCCTCCTAAGTATCCTCATTAAAATCAGCTTGGATTAGGGTTCTAGTGCTTGGTCTTTATTACTTTTTCACTTAACTTACCTGCTCTGAGAAGAGGGACTACCACAGGCAAATGAAATAGGGAGGTAAAGGGCTGAGGTGATGGCTGCAATGTCTCCACAAGACTGGGCCTGGCGGGTGGGCAGCAACAGGGAGACCCTGGCAGGACCCGTCTTCAAGGGTAACAGGATGAGGAAATAAACAGATCTATTTGTGTAGGGGTGTGTGTGTGTGTGTTTCAGGCACCCCAGCCTTACTCAAATAACTGATTCAGTATTTTCAAATGTATAGCCTTTAGCTGGGAATATAGCTCAGTGACGTAAGCGCCTGCCTGGCAAGCGCAAGGTCCTGAGTTTGATCCCTGGTGCAAAAAAAAAAAAATGTGTATGTGTGTGTGTGTGTGTGTGTGTGTGTGTGTGTGTGTATACATTTTCATTCATTGGAGTTAAAACTACTATGATTAAGAACAAAAGCCCAGAAAGATGTTTCACTTGATACAGGTGGCGAGTAAAGTAGACATTGATGTGTACCTCATTTATCATAGAGCTCTTTGGGGGTAAGAAGGCAAAAATGCTAAAAACACCAAGCAAAACTAGGGCATATGCCTTCTCCTTATGGCTTCTGCCTTTTGCCCCCATAATAGTAAGGTTATGGTGGTGCATGCTTATAATTCCAGCACTCAGGAGGCTGTGGCAGGAAGATTGATGTGAGTTTGAGGCCAGCCTGGGCTCCACAGTGAGTTCAAGACCTGTCTGAACTACATAGTGAGACACTGTCTCAAAAAAAAAAGGTTTATAATTTTGGCATGATAACTAGGTCTGAACCAAGCGTTTGAAGAAGTAGAGCCCGAGACTAACCACATGTTCAACCCTGTTTAGACAAGGAGAGCAGAACCTCCAGGAGCACTGGTGGAAAATCATTCTTTCCTATCCTAACAAATAAAGCTGGGGCTCTCCTGGATTGGCCAAATGTGGCTCATGACCTCCACTCTGCTCTAGCGTCCACAGGGACCATTAATCCTTCTCCACTGAGCTCAGATGCAGAATCCAAAAAGTGATCAGAAGTACAACAATTACACATAACTTTCTGTTCATGGCAACAGATGAGCTGCTGTGAGACCCCCGTGGCCCCTGCCTTCGCTTCCCCATCTCTGGAATCATGCAAGTGACTTGGTCTGATTTACACTACATAGCCACCATTCACCTGATCTCCATTCTGACCACTAGCAGGCAACTGGCCATGCCAATCAATTTGAAATCAGTGAGAAAATCAATTTCAACTTACAGCTTCAAGGCTCTTCTGGAATTCCTGAAGTTTGGCTTTGGCTTCCTTGTAATTCTTGTAGAACATGCACAATTCATATACTTCCATTACCAATAGTAATGGACAATCCTTTGAAGAAGAGTTTGAAATTAGAAAATCCTGGCCTTGATAATTTCTTAATGAATACTGACAAGTAAGAGAACATTAAATATTACTTTTTTTTTTTTTGTCTTTTTTCTTTTTATCGGTACCGGGGATCGAACTCACGACTGCCTGCTTGCAAGGCAGGCGCTTATGCCACTGAGCTAAATCCCCAGCCCCAACATTAAATATTACTAAAAACAGCCTCACAGCAAATTAAGTCATACATCTTAAAAAGAAAAATTTTCAAATTTATATTTCTTTTTGGAAAAAAAATACTTGGGATGAGTACAGCTATTAAACAAAATCATTTTCTATTTTAGACTTGATTCACTACTGATGACAGGCATCATCCACTAGATGGCAGTATGGTGTCTCTAACATTTAATGCTGGATGTTGGGCTCCCAGGACCTGCCCCTCTCAACCCACAGAATGCACAGCTTTCAAGGGGAGTTTTGGATTAGAAAGTATAAATCTGAATTCTAAACATATTACAAAGTATAAAGTACTTTGAGTTCTTGGGTTGAGTAGTTAACTGCTGTAAGCACTACTTATTAGTGTGTAAAATAAGGATAATACCACTTCATAAAATCCTTTTTATTTTGTATAGGATTGTTGTGAGAACTTTTAAAATAATGTATTTGAACACTACTAAATAAATGGCAGCTGTAGCTCACGTTGTAGCTCAGAGGTAGAGCATTTGCCTACCATGTGCAAGGCCCTGGGTTCAATCCCTAACAGTGTAAAACGAACAAACAAACAAACATTCTATTACCACCTAACGTTGATGTAAAAAAAAAAATCTAGGGATGAAACTAAGAAAAAGTCACTGAAGTAATGCCTGTGAGCTCTGGAAAGAACTGAAGTAATTATTCACTACCTTAAAGAAAAGCTGGAAACCTTGGATAAGAGTTCTGCTCTTCTGCCTTGTTAATAATGTTCTCCAGATGACAGAAAGGTCCTCAAGGTCCCAGGGATGGCCTTCTGTCAAGTCTCGAACATGTCCCATTACTTCAGCAGCAACACTGTCCTCCACAGAGGTAATGAGCCAAACACAGAGACAGGAAACAGCACTAGCATCCTGGCATTGGACAGATTTTCAAAATAAAATAATAGCTTGGGTTACCTTACAGATGTAACAAATGCTACAGAGGAGTACTTCCTATTTAGAATAAGTTAAGATGGATTACACATTTCCAAACATGACACAAAATCTAATGAACAACAAAGGGACTAAAATAAATAGTCTGCAGTGTGTGGCAGGTCAAAGGTGAAGAAGACAGGTTTCTAAGTAGGACAGGATTGTCCTCCTTGGAGCTGCACATCAGCGACTGTGGAACGCCTCCTTCCCTGTTGAAAAGGTAGTACTGTGTATTCACCAGTGTCCTCCCTGCCACCAGCGGCCAGGCCACACTTCTCCCACTAGAGCTCACTAAATGTAAACCTGAGGAAGGTACCAAGTGACCCAGACCCATATGCTAAAATAAGACAAAGTGGTTTCGTGATCTTAAAACACACTGGACCTTCCCTGGCATCATTACCCACTTGTGACTGTTAGTCTCTCCTGACCCTCACTGGTTTTTCTATTGCTGTCTAGGTCCTTAAATTAGGCTTCTCCTGCCGCTTACCTGGAGGCAGGAAGCCAGGATACTGAGGACAGGGGCCTTTTGTCTCACTGCCTCAGTCAGCAGCCAGTGCCAGGAGTCTGCTTGCTCTGAGCACTGGAGCAGAACTTCAAAGAAATTAGTCATCTCTGCTTTGTTTCTCTGGGGTTCCTGAAGGGACTCGGCATTGACTTGATCAGTGCTCACTGAGGGCAAGTTTTCAAAAGCCAGCTGTAAGTGGTCTTGCAGGACCGGGCTGAAGCACTGAAGAAGGGGTTTCACCTAAAAAGCACAGCAGATAATTAAAATACACACCCAACTTTTACTTCCACCTGGAACGGAATATGTTACAGAAGAGCCCAGGCACAGCTATTCTTTCCCACCCTGAACTGTGTCAGAGGTGAGCACATAATTTTACAAAGTTGTTATTTTGAGTGAATGTCTATATTCAATCTGTAGTCACAAAAACTTTCCAAGCTTTTCAGTATGAATGACTAGTCAAACTATTAATGTCTGACCTGAGCCCACTGTTAATAAAAATAAGCATCATATTAAAAGGCTAAGAAGGGTAAATTTGGTCATTTATAGGAACATGAATGCACCCTGCATGCTAAGTGAAATACTAAACAGCACATAATTTCATTTATGTGAGAAACCCAAAGTATAAATCATCTACAGAGCAAAATAAAAGATGACAGAGAACAGGGAGTTCAACTTTGTGAGTTGGAAAAAGTGTCTGGGAGACAGTAAAGGGGAAGTGGAATTACAAAGAATGAACAGTAGCTTGGCATGGTGGCGCATGCCTGTAATCCCAGCGTTGAGAGGCTGAGGCAGGAGGACTGCTGTGATTTCAAGGCCAGCCTGGGCTACACTGTGAGTTCAAGGCCAGCCTGAACCACACAGCAAGACCCTGTCTCAAAAAACATCAAAAAAAGGAAAAGGAAAAAAAAAAAAAGGAAAAGGGAAAGGAAAAAGTTCAGTCATTTGCTATGTATATATGCCGATTTCCCACAATAAATGTATATATTATGTACTGTTAACATACACTAATAAAAAACTTTAAATTCAAAAGCTTATTTATGCAATAGAAAGAACACTATCTGGGCTGGGGATTTAGCTCAGCGGCATAAGCGCCTGCTTGCAAGCAGGCAGTGGTGAGTTCGATTCCCGGTACCGATAAAAAAGAAAAAAGAAGTGTAAAAAAAGAAAGAACACTACCTTCACAGAAGTGTTCAGATTTCCTCAAGAGCCTGCCAGCAACATGCTTACCTCCTCCAGGTGGTAGTTATGGAGCTGGCTATGAATAAGGAACTGAAGCCAGTCATTCGCTTTGGCACACTCTAGAAGGTAGGACGTGCTCAGTTTCAGATTGTGGAGCCTGCCAAACTGCACCACTAATGCCCACTGGCTCTCGGATTCACTGGATAACCTAGAATTAGAATTAGGGAGGGGATGGTACAGATAAAAAACTCTTACGAAAACACAGCTTCAGTTTGAAACTACAAGTTAGTAAAAGTTAAATAAACGAAACTGCAGTGTATGCTCTAAGAAGCTTTTCAGTGGGGCTGGGAATGGAGTTCAGTGGCAGAGCGCACACAAAGCCACAAGTTAGGTCCGTAACACTGTAAAAGAGAAAAGGGCTTTTCAAAAAATATTTCTTAGACTGCTTTGAACATGGACTCTTGCTCATAAGGTGGAAGAGCTCTCTTAATGGATTGGCACAGTTCATTCTTTTCCCAAATCATCAAATATTGATTGTAATAGTTGTGGATCATCCTTAGAGAAACAGAAAATAGGCACTCAAGAAATTTTCTGGTTAATTCTCTACATGGCTCACTTTGCAGCCCTGGCCAGTGCCTGGGGCTCCTTACTAGCGAAAGGACACATGTTCTACTCCAAGAATGAAGTGCTGAGAACTGAGTCCATAAGCGTGGCCACAGGGTGTCCCAAGGCTGCCCTAAGGAGAGAATGCTGGGAAAAGATGGCAAGTGTGTGTTTTTGCTGACAGACGCTCACTTTGGCTTCCAATATCAGTTGACTCATGATAGGAAGAAAACATTAGGGACAATATTTAAAATCTAATTTTGTGAGAGTTGTTCCCACATCTCCTGCAATCATTTCAACACGTAACACTTAAAATACTTTTCTGAGGCTAGGGATTTAGCTCCGTGGCATAAGTGCCTGCCTTGCAAACACGTGGTCGTGAGTTCGATCCCCGGTACCGATAAAAAAAAAAAAAAAACTTTTCTGACCTGACAGTCAAAGCTCCTCCTCTTGGTAAGACCATTTCTAAAAAGGGAATCATGACTGGCAAGGCACAACTTTAAAAAGTTCCATTTGTTTAGTGCCTGCTATATGCAGGATAGGTAAGAAGATCAGATCTAGCGGGATTTTGGTGAAAACACCAGAGGTGCTAGAAGAAAAGAGCAAGCCAACACAGGTCAGCACAAGAAACGTACTACAAAGAGGCTGGGACTGAAACTCACAAACCTCTTGATTTCCTGGTGCTGAATGCTATTCCATGTACCTTCTTCTAAGAGAACAAGCAATTCTTCTGAGGTTGCCTTGTCATCAGCTGCCAGTCTAGATAGTTTCTCAGCTAAAAGAAACATGAACAAGAAGTGTGAGCTGCGCGGGGTGGCAGGATAATCACTGGAATCTACAAGTGTGAGACCAGATCAAGACTCTGCCTCAAACACACCCACATCCGTATATTTACGGCCAAGAGAAAAAGTCAGGACCTGAGCATTTCTGTTTGAATAACATGGTCCAGGGTCATTTTAGGACCTAATTAAAGTGCCCAAGAAAGTGAGATAAAAAAACATATACACGGTAGCCTGGGATGCAGCTCTGGGGTACAGCGCTTGCCTGGCATGCATAAAGCCCCACATCCAATCCCAGCAATGCAAAAGAGCAAAAAACCAAAAAAACCTAGGAAGGTAACTGTTCTTCCCAAATGCTCACAAGTCAACGCTTCAGGTCTATTTATTCTTCTCCTTTAACAAAAGCCACACAGAGAACAGGCACGTTACCTAAAGACTCTCGGATAAAGCTGTACTGAGCATCTTCTTTTCTACACTTGTAGCTCAAAATTATATTGGCCGCTTTCATGTCAACTCTGAGCTTGAGGCTGTCAAGGCCTAGCAATTCTAGGAAACACACACAGGCAGCTCCTATGGAAGGTATGTGGAAAGAAGAGAGCCCTAAGACGTAGGCTTCCTTGCCTGCTTGCTCGATCCTGTAAAAGAAAGGAACTAAAATCACATCAGCACATAAAACTTTTCTCCGCAGGACCAGCAGTGGCGTTGTATCAGTGATTCATGCACCTCCTTCCCTTCTGTACCGCCGGCACACATCCAGCTGGGTTCCAGGTAGCTGAGTTGTTTTCAGGCTCCACAGCCTCCATCCCCTGAGGTTTCCCCGTCTTAAGGCACCCACTCAGAGTTTACACGATGCTGGTTTCCAGCTTCACCCAGGAGGTATGGGGTAGAATTTCAAAAGCAACATCTTAGCAATTCTGAGTACACACATACACTACCAACAAGATTAACACCTTAAATTTGACACACTAAAGCACAAAATTTACACTTTTAGGTGTGAATAGATTTCTAGAAAGATACACAACATGTTTTCAACCATGTTAGTATGTAGAATGGAAATAAAAGAGATGTGGCAAAACTTTGTCTTTCGTTCTCACTTCTCTGAACTATTTTATAATAAAATAGCACAAATGAAGGATAGTACCAGTTTATGTTTTAAGTACTCACAGCTTCTTGGGAGTCTTGCTTTTGATCAATTCCTGGACCAGAAAAGTCCCAAATGCAAATGATGGGCGCCCATGTTGTAAATAGTAAACGAAGTTCAGGCGTTCCACCACGGCGTATCTGTTTACCAGACCAGGGCTAGAGAAATGTGGGAGATGGCTCAGCGCATCTGGGAGAGAAAGCGGAGCAGTGTTAATTTTCTGCAGTGCATGATAGTTAATTTCAGCTTTGCACATGGAAAGCATAACCCTTCAATGGAAAAAAATTTATTGGTCTCTACAAGCATTTTGTACCACTGTCCACTTGATATCTCCTTGAATCTATCAAAATACAGTTTTACTTACTTAAATGTACAGATAGCCTTTATTTGTACTCTCCTCCATAATGAGCCTACTGAAATGTTATCTGTTTTTATGTTCTGAGATAAGGTCTCACTGTGTAGTCCAAGCTGGGCATTAACTTGTGATCTTTCTGCCTCAGCCTCCTAAATGCTGGGCCTGTAAGAATTCGCCACCTTCCTGTGATTTTAGTCACTTTTTCCCCCTTTTTTCTTCCTAGACTCTCTTAAGGATCCACAATTAGCAATGCAGTGCTATCCGTTTCAAACCCACTAGATGCTGGCTAGATCTCCCCTCCTCTCTGGACTTCTGCTCTTCGTAGTAAAATGAGCACACTGGGCTCAGTGACCTCTAAGTGCCATGCCACCTGAAGTGCCCCACGGTTTTTTTAATTAAAGGACTCTCCTGTGAAAGCTGTGCCGAATTATATGTGTGATTATGCCCCAGTAGAGCCCGGCTGCCAACGGAATAAGGGTCAATGATCTCCAGGGATGCACAGGGATTTCCAGACTTCCTGGTTGCAGTATTACCCATGGTTATAGATGCAAATATATGGCTGCGGGAAGAGACCACAAACCAAACCAAATCTCTAAACCAAACGAGATGAAAAAGCGTAGCCTGAGGACTTTCCAGGGCAATTATGATACTGTTTCTGGGATAGAAAAACCTCTAGTATGAGAAGTCCAGAATCTCAGTGTAAATAGGCCTTTGGGTGATAAAAGAATATGCTTGAGTCCTGCTCTTGACACTACCAGTTGTATGACCTTTTAACAGTTCATTTAGCTCTCTAAAAATTTATATATTTAAAGACTATATTTTGATATACTTGTTTTGATTTAATGATTATTACAGTTATGCAAATCCAATGTCCATATTCTTACATTTCTTTCTCTGAGTGGTATGACTACCTAAAAAATCTTATTTTCTTGGTAAATTACCACTATACATAATTATCATCATGTTGTACATTATATTGTACCTCTAAATTTCTTTTTTTTTATCTCTAAGCTTCTTTATTCTATATAACTACAGCTTTGCACCCTGTGACTTATGTCTCCCTTCTTCCCCATTGCCAGTAATTACCATTCTGCCCCACTATTATGTAACTGATGTGGGACGGCCAGTGCTGCATATGAACTCAGAGCCTTTGCACTGAGCTACATCGCTAACCCTTTTTTGGAGACAGGATCCTACTAAGTCAAAGTTGCCCAGGCTGGCATCAAATTTGCAATTCTCCTACCGTAGCTGGGATTACAGACATGTGCCACCATACCTGGCTGGTTCTCTTCCCCCTTCAGATACTACATGTAACATAACATGCATCATTTGTCTTTCTGAATCCGTCTTATTTCACTTAGCAGAATGCCCTCTAGTTTTACCCATGCTGTTGTAAATGACAGGATATCTTTTTAATGCTGGGCAACATTGTACTATGTATGTACGCGGAAATATTTATGTATTGTATATATGCTGCCAAAAGGAGCACGATATTTATATATTATAACACCTCTCTCTGCTCACCTGTCAATGGATACCCATTTGTTTCTATATATTCGTATTGTGAATAATGCTGTAATAAACACGGGAATGCAGATGCCTTTATGTGATGGTAATTTATTTCCTTTGGGCATATACCCAGAGCGGGGACTGGTGGGTCATGTGGTAGCTCCATTTTTAACTTCTTTAGGAACCTCCATACTGTTTCCCACGGTGGCTGCCCCCACTCTACACCCGGAAGACTGTACAATGGCTTCCATTTCTCTACTTCCTCGCCAGTACTTACAATTTTGTTTCTGTTATCAAAGTCATCCTAACTGGTGTGACGCTGTTCCACTGTGGTTTTGATTTGCAATTCCCTGGTGCTTAGTGATATGGAAGACTTTTTCATATACCTTTCAGCTATTTTGATGCCTTCTGTAGAAAAAAATCTTTTTCAGGACCTTTGCCAATTTTTAATTGGGCTATTGTCTTGCTATTGAGTTTTGTGAGCTCCTTATATATTTTGGGTATTGACCACTTATTAGATATGGAGTTTGCAATTATTTTCTTCCAGTGTGTAGATGTTTTTCATTTTACCAGTTGTTTCTTTTCTTTTTTAAAAAACATAGAATGAATTGCGTGTCATCCTTGTGCAGGCGCCATGCTAATCTTCTCTGTGTCACTCCAATTTTAGTACATGTGCTGCTGAAGCGAGCACTACCAGCCGTTCCTTTTACTGGGCAGAAACTTTGTCTAGACACTTTCCCTGCATGTTTTCCTCCAGGACTTTTACAGTGGTCTACATTTAAGTCTTTAAAACCATTTTACTTTTATGTATGGCTGAAGGGTAAAATTTCATTCTTTTGTAGATGAATAGTTGATCCTCCCAGCATCACTGACTGAAGAGACAGTCCTTTCTCTATGGTATATTCTTAGTATCTTTGTTGAAAATTAGTTGGCCCTATGAGAGTGAGTTTCTTTTTGGGTTCTCCATTCTGCTGCATCTATGTCACTGTTTTTATATTGATACCATACTGTCTTATTACAGCTTTTCAGGCTTTGAGGTCAGGTATTGTGATGCTTCCAGCCTTTTGCTCAGGCTTGCTGTAGCTCTCTGGAGGTCATATGAATTTTAAGACTGTTTTTTCCAGTTCAATGAAAAGTATCACAGGAATTCTGACAAGGATTTCACTGAATGTATAGATCACTTTAGGTAGTATGAACATTTTAAATATTCTTTCAATCCATAACACAGAATAAATACATGCATTTATTTATGTCTTCAATTCCTTTCACCCAAGTTTTATAGTCTATTATTTATGTATCTCTCACGTCTGGCTTGTTCCTAAATTTTTAAATGCTATTATAAGTGGGATAGTTCTGATTTCTCTTTCAGATTATTCAGTTAATACACAAAAACACTACTTTTTTTTGTCTTTATGTTGGTTTCTTTTTTTGTTGTTAATACTACTATTTTTATGTTGTTAACACTACATAGAACTTCTAAAACTTTGCCGAACTCATTTACTAGTTTTAACAATTGATGTTTTATAGAGGATTTTCTGCACACAGAATCACATCATCTACACACAGTGATAACTGACCCTCTTTTCTGATTCAGTCACCTTGCATTTCTTTTTCTTGCCTAAATGTTCTACCTAGGATTTCCAGTCTTATGTTGAACAGAATTTCAACATCCTTGTCTTGTTCCCCATCTTAGAGGAAAAGTTTTCAAGTGTTACTACTGATGTTAGATGAGGGCTTCATTATACATTCCTTCAACACTTATTTTGAATTTTTTTTTCTTATTTTGAATTTTTATCATGAAAAATATCGAATTTTTTTCTGCATGTACTGCTATCAGCATATGGTTTTTGTTCTTCATTCTGCTAACACGTGCATGATACTGATTAATTTGTGCATGGTGAGCCATCTTTGTAGTTGTTAGTACTGTATTTGACCCTTTAACTGCACAATGGCAGTAACTCTTCAGCTACAAAACTCTTTATTAATCTGCAAAAGCTGTTAAAAATAGCAAGAAAACATTTCCTCTTTTTAGAGAAACTCCAAATCAGAAGACATTTGGATATGAATAGCATGAAACAGCCAGTCCTGCAAGCCCTTTATATTTAACTGCCTCTCAACCACTTCCTGCCCATCAGGGAAAAGGAAGAGATCAAATAACATGTGAAACTTGTACCAAGAACTAGATTTGCATAATTTTTCAAAGTTCAAAGTTTATCCCTAGAATCAAACTTAATTTTCTTATGAAACTTTAAGGAATTTTCACATTTTCTTGGCTTCCAAAAAAACCAAGACCTTACAGGTATCTGTTTTTTCACAAAGGTATCACCTAAAGTGCCACTCTCTGAGATTAATAAGTCACACGCCCCATTTGTATGTTGAGACCAGAGTGATTCTGGTTAACTTATTACTGTATACAAAACTATCTGTTCACTAAATAGTGAGCATGTAAAGTGTACAATAGTGACAGTTGTTGAATATGCAAATGAGATTTTTATTAAAATAACCGATTTTTTTTGCAGATGGTGCCTACTGTGGAAACCACGTAGGGGAAATTCTGCCCACCACAGATGCCAAGTCACCACACAGCTGTCACACATCTGCTTTCAGCACTAAACCCACATTTAAAAAGGAAGTGAATATTCTAACTTAACTTGTATTATGTTTTCATGGCAACTATTCCACTTATTTTGTACCTTATTTCCTCAAAGACTTTAGAAACTTCTAACAACTTGGCAGGCTTAATGTCCCAGAGATGGTCAAGATTCTTGCTGGCTGAATGATACAGCTAGAGCCATCCAAGTAAGACCAATGTATGAGAACCGGTGTTTTTATTTCATAATGCAATAAGCACTACTTTTTGAGCACTCTACAAACACTTACTGAACATCTGTTGTAGGCCTGGCACTGCAGTAGGCTCTGGGCATTAGGTAAATTCAATGGATCAGATGAGAACTTCTACAAAACAAATATACTAGAAAACTAATTTTAATGAGCCAAGCATAGTGGCCTATGCCTGTAATCCCTGCTACTTGGGAAGCTGAGAAGGGAAGAGCACAAATTTGAGGGCAATTCAGACAGAGTAAGACCTCACTCCTCTCAAAGAAAATAAAAGAAAAAGCTGGGTATAGCGCATGCCCACAATCCAGCTACTCAGGAGGCTGATGTAAGACTGTGATCAAAGATGCCTGCGTAACTCAGCAAGACCTTGTTTCAAAATAAAAAGCTAAAAAGGGGTGGAAATGTAGCTCATCCAATTCCCCTAGGTTCAATCCCCAATACCACAGAAAGAAAGAAAGAAAGAAAGAAAGAAAGAAAGAAACTCATTTTTATGTATGTCAATAGATTTGACAAGCTACACTGATATAATACATTCATACATTTGATGTATGTCGAATATTTATGAAATACTTTCATGCACAGAGTAATCTCAGTGAGTCATACTGACACCGCTACCATAGGGGATACGGTGTCAAAGGCCAAGTGTACACGCAAAGGTAAAAGAAAAACAGAGAAAGCTAAATTGAAACCCTAAATGCAAAGGTAAAAGAAATAGAAAGGGCTAGGTTTTTTTTGTTTTGTACCAGAAATCAAACTCAGCGTTTCTCTTACCAGGCAGGTGCTATGCTGCTAATCTATATCCTCAGCCATGGCCAGGTTTCAAGAACAGCATAAAACTCAGAAATTCTCATGGCCTGGACAAAAGCAGTATGTGTGCATCTGGTACTTAGTACCTGAGAGTTTTATAGTTTCCTTGTCTTTTTTCATTCTCATATTAACACGTGAGGTGGATGCCGTTATTAAATTTATAGGGAACTGGAGAAGGATTAAATTTTTGCCTAAGCTCCTGGAGCTCTTATATGGCAGAACTAGAATTGACTAATGCTGATACTAAGGCTCATAATCTCTTTTTTTTTTTTGTCTTTTTCCTTTTTATCCGTACCAGGGATCGAACTCATGACTGCCTGCTCGCAAGGCAAGCGCTTATGCTGCTGAGTTAAATCCCCAGCAAGGCTCATAATCTTTATGATGCCATATTGCAAATGAAGATGAATTGTTGGAAATATAGCACTACTAAGAAAATACACTGACTTTTAACGCTTAATTTGTTTTCAATTAGTCTCCTTGAAAGTGTGGTTTTTTTGGTGGAGTGGCAGCCAGTACTGGGCTTGAACCCAGGACCTTCCTATTGAGCTACACAGTTCTAGCTCTTTTAAATTTTTCTTTTTTTATTTTGCAACAGGATCTTGCTAAGCTGCTCAAATTTATTTCCTTTTGCCTAGGCCTCCTGAGTGCTGGGATTACGGGTGTACCCAGCTTCTATCATTATTTTTAAAATTGAAAGCAGGGAATAAATACATTGGCTTCTAATATCAATACTAATAAATATTTCTTTTTTGTCTTTTTCTTTTTTATTGGTACCGGGAATCGAACTCACGACTGCCTGCTTGCAAGGCAGGCGCTTATGCCACTGAGCTAAATCCCCAGTCCCGTAAATATTTCTAAAAAAGACCCATTATTAGATAACCATACTACTAAGTTTTTGTTAGTTCATCAAACAGAATGGTTTGTACTGTCATTGCTTGACTGTTCACTTTTTATGCTTTGATTGTGTGATTTGAGCAACTACTTTTAAGATAACACGTGATTTATCAACTAGTGATTTCTTACTTTTTTTTTGAAATTCTGTACTATTTCTACTTTTTTTTTTTTTTTTTGCTTTTTTTCTCTAAATTAAAAAAAGAAACGAAATGAAAAGAAAAGAAATACCTGTACTGACTTACCTCCTATTGCTAGCGTATTGGCAGACTGCCAGCCAAACAATTTGCTAGGATCAAAGGGTGATAATGACTGGAAAAAAAAAGAAAGAAAAAGTCAGTCAAAGCCACACGCTTAATGATTCTAAAATAAGTAAACAAAATGCATGAAAAGCCTTCTTGCGGTATTTGCTTCTCTAAATAATTTTTTGTTGTTATTGTTACCAGAGATTGAACCCAGGGCCTTTGTATATCCTCAGCATTCCATCCCTTTTAATTTTGTTTTTTTATTTTGAGTCAGGGTCTCACTAAGTTGCTGAGGCTGGGCTCAAGCATGTCATCTCCTGCCTCAGTCTCCCAGAACGCTAGGATTGCAGGAGCATACCACACTATTACAGGGCAAGTTAAAAACTTATGTTGCACTGGAGGAAATACAGCACTTACTCAGCATGTGCAAGTCTGCTTCAATCCCCAGCACCATAAAACAAAACAAAATTTTATCTCTCTGAACAATAATTCTTTGAACACAACTAAAAAAAGAAAACAAAGATAGCTCTCTATTTTAATAAAAACGGTAGCTACTTTTTTGTTGTTAGCTACATTCTTTTAAAGACTTACCTTACTTTAAGAGATGTCTGGAAAATGTATTTTCTTTTAGCAAAAGTAGAATCAGTTATAACAGAAGACACTTTAAATATGCTTTTGGAACCAAAAGGCTAGAAAAATGTTACCCTGTAGAATCAGGTCCATGTACTTGGTGATACAACAGATTTACATTCCGACATTAGATCAGTAATCAAGATCCACACACTGAGCAGCCCAAAATTCTTGGCAGTGGAGTAAGAGTCATTTGTATCTTTATAGAACTATGGAGCTTAGGTTGGATTGAAGATACTATGTGAGACCACGTGTTCAACAGGAAAAACAGCAAAGCCTTTAGAACTGTGAAAGGAGCAAAAGCTGTTAACTGAGTTCCCTGAATCAAAGTTTCACGGAGTCTCTACTCCTTTGGAATATAAACAAAATTAACTCACAGCATAAAGAGCAAAATGAAAGATTGTTAAAGACCACTATCCAGTGGCTCCGAGCAGGATTTAAAATTAACTAACTGGCTTTCTATGTTTTTCTGTAAGTCTGTCCTAGGCTTTGGTCGCTTGCCTAGTGACGGGAGCTGATTCACAGTAAGTGAACCACTGTGAATCACTGGTCCTGGCTGAGGCCTGTAGTGGCCTGTGAGGCCAGAAATACTGCAAAGGGCAAGATAAGGCCACAGCTGCGGACACTTGGCTCCAATCCAATTAACAAGGTAGAGACTGCAGCTGTAGGAATTATTCCTACAGTCTCACTGTAGGAATCTGTCTTCATGATAAGACAGTTTCGCTGAATTGACTTGACTCATTAGTTGAAGTGACTCCCAAGGTCCTGCTCATTGCCTGCGCTTTCCTCAGTGCCCCACCCCTTGCTGTTGGACCTAATAAATAAAGTGGGTGGTCCAGAGAAGTCTTTTTCTTAGCCCTCGAGTCCCGAGCTCAACTAAAAGGTTTTGACCCTCCTGGAGCCCTAAAATCATATCACTTGTCACATTGTATTTAAACTCCACCATACACTCATTTGGGAGATTGGGGATGTAGGTCAGGACCCGGTAAAAGGTAACAGGAAGCAGGGGACAGAGCTCTCTTAAAAGGAAAGGGGGTCAAGAGATGGAGGAAGCGTTGAAGTTCAGGGGATGAATACAGGAATTACGATGTGCCATGTACAAGTACCAATTACACACAGTAATATAAACACTATGTACTTCAAATATGTACAATAAAAGGGAAAGAGGGCCAGGGATTTAGTTCAGCAGTTCAAGCTCTTGCTTGGTAAACACAAGGTTGTGAGTCTGATCCCTGGCACCAAAAAAAAAAAAAAAAAAAAAAGGAATTTAGAAATGGGGAAAAGGGGATGAAATAAGGAATTAAAATGTATTATTTAGGGCTGGTGATCTAGTCTGGCAAGTGTGAGGTTGTGAGTTTGATTCTTGGTACAAAAAAAAAAAATTTATGTAGCGCTAGGTGTGGTGGCGCACACCTGTGATCCCAGCACTTGGGAGGCTGAGGCAGGAGGACTGCCATGAGTTTAAGGACAGCCTGGGATACAAATAAAAAAAAAAAAAAAAAGATGCATTCTATAGCTAAGCCAATACCACACAAGGAATGTAACCATTATGTACCACACACATGACATGCACTACACAAGAAAAGAGAAATACCAACAAAACTGCATGCTTCTGTGTAACCTTTTCTGAGTACAAGGTTCATAGCTCTTTCACTATTTTTTTTTTTTTTTTTTGTACTAGAAATCAAACTCATGACCTTGTACTTGCCAGGCAGGTGCTTGTGCCGCTGAGCTATACCCCCAGCCCCTTATGTCACTAATCTATATCCCTAGCCCGTCTCTCACTTTTTTTTTTTCTTGTCTTGTCTTTTTGACACAGAGTCTCTCTATGCAGTTCAGGCTGGCCTTGAGCTCACTTTGTAGCCCAGGCTGGTCTCGAACTTACAACAATCCTCCTACCTCAGCCTCCTGAGTGTTGAGATTAAAAGTGTGTGCCACCATGCCTGGCTTCTCACATTCTTAAGAAGTTCTGGGGGGCTGGGGATTTAGCTCAGCGGCATAAGTACCTGCCTTGCAAGCAGGCGATCGTGAGTTCGATCCCCGGTACCGATAAAAGGAAAGGGGAAAAAAAAACAGTTTTGGGTATTGGAAAAGATTAAGAAGCACTGATTCATTATCAGGGCCCTAACTCACTGAGATGATATCCTCAGAGGTTATCAGTGGTACAATGGAATGGATTTTTTTTCCTGTACCGGGGATTGAACTAGGACCTCACACTTGCCAGGCAGGCGCTATGCCACTGAGCTATACCTGGAATGCATTAAAGCAAGCAGTGGACAGGTATCCTGGTCAACTATCTTTGTCTCATCTGTTACATTTTTCCCCTCTTCTGGTTCGTACTGTAAGGAACTACATTTCCTGAGCATCTTTGCTGTCTGGCTACCAGATAAGTACAGCATTAAAGACACTGGGGGAAATTAAAGGCGGGAAGAGGAAAAGAGATCAAGACATTTTCAATTTGCTTTCTGGAAGCGTCTCCTCCAATTTTTTAGTTTCTTCCCTCCAGCTCCCTTAAGCATCCTGGTTTTAAATTTAGCTCCCACAGGTGACTCCAGCTTCTGTGTTCTGACAACACTTCCATCTTGTTCCACAGTCTTACAGATGCTGAAGCATTCTTCTTTTGCAAATTTCTGGGTGGTCTCACCATCACATTTGGTTTCTTCATTCGGACTCGCCATGTAAGAGAGGCAGTGTTTTCTGTTGTGGCACCCAAACCCTGACACCCACTGTACCTGAATGAGGTGGTAGAGCGTGATATCGGGTGGCAGCACACTAGGAGCGGTGCACTGTGGGAAGAGAGCGGCTTTCAGCTTTGGGTAAGGGGCTAAGGCCATCCTCAGTAGTTGGGAATCCACTTTCTTTAAACAGTTCTCATTTTCTTCACTCTGAACAACCTAGGTATAAGATACATAAGAGATATAGAATAACATTTCTTTTCTCTCAAAACGTCTACATCTTTTTCACAAGAACCCCGATAGTCATAAGTTAAATAATAGTAACAGTTCTAGTTACGGTTCTAAGACGAATTAGCTGTTTAACCTTGGATCAGATATTTAATACGAGGCTTGATATTTCCTCATCTGCAATACTAAGAAGCTGAGCTACATTAATTGTATTCAAATTATATGTTGTTTGCAAAAAGTTCTAGTATTACAATGCTTAAAATATTTGAATTCAATAGTAAATAGAAAATATTTTTAAAAGATTTGAAAACTACTAGAGTAGATGACTCCCAGGTGCCTCCTCCTTAGCTCTAAAGTTATTCTATGACTAATTTCTGAGAGATGATCAAAAACGGGAGCAAATAACTTAGCCACAGAAGTATACTGCAATATCTAAAAGAGAGAGTATTAAATTAAGCCAGAATCAGTAGGAAACTCTTAAAGTCATTATATGTTTAACAGCAGTCAGTCTCCTCTGAGCAGGACCACTATACTCAAAAAGCAAAAATAAGCACATTTCCACAATGTCCTTCAAAATAGCTTGTATGAGTAGCTAAAGATTATGCACTGATTAATTAACTTTTAACTCCCTAAAGGTCAACTAGTAGAAAATAATTCCCAAGCCACAAATCTAAAATACACTAACTGCCAGAAGCAACTGGATTCTGATTTTATTCCACAAACCTTAAGTTATTAAAAAAAACTAATAGGAAAAATTATCTCTGCACAATACATTAGTTTTTTTTCAAATTAAGATATATACAAAGCTTAAAAATTTACCCATTTTGTGCTGTTTAATAAAAAATTAGTGGTTACATTAAAAAAAAGTGGTTATATTTAATACCAATGGTGATCCAGACAACCCATAGATATTCCTACTAAATTTAAAAATCATTCCTATTTTGCCATAATAGGTAAAAGTATTGTCCACACCTGGCTGGCACCCCCAGGAGCATACATTGTAGTAGCGAGGGCCAGGAGGGTATGTCCTTCCAATAGCATACTGCTTACACTGGCCTGATTGGTGGGAATCAAAATCTGAGCATTCGCGAGGCTAGCCTGGAAGATCAGTTTGGGATCTGGAAGATAAAAGGGTAAGGTTTTCTCCTTAGTAGGGGTTAATACTAAGTTAGGAAGTACATAATTCAGAGGGAAAAATACATATCTAAAATCTATCCACAGTGAGGAAAAATTTCTAAGTTTAAGCAATAGAAAGCAAAAAAAGTAGCCGGGCATGGTGGCTCACTCCTGTAATCCCAGCACTCGGGAGGTTGAGGTGGGAGGATGGTTGCAAGTTCGAGACCAGCCTGGGCTACAAACTGAGCTCAAGGCCAGCCTGAACTGCATAGCGAGACCCTGTCTCAAAAAAAAAAAAAAAAAAAAGAAAGAAAGAAAGAAAGGAAAAAAAGGAAAGATCTGTCTACATAGAAATAAAAAATTCAGATAAAGAAAACTAGAAGGTAACAATGAACTCAGGAGAGAAATTACAACAAATAGTCAAAGAATCAATGCCCTCAATGAAAAGTTTATACAAATCAATGCCAAACACACTTGAATCAGGGCTGGGGATTTAGCTCAGGGGCATAGGTGCTTGCCTTGCAAGCATGTGGTTGTGAGTTCAATCCCTGGTACAAAAAAAAAAAAAAAAGACTCTAACCGATAAAAGGACAAAACAGTTTACAAAGAAAATAAAATGCCTTGCAAAAATATATAGTCCACTAGCAATAAAAAAATGAAAAGTAATTAGGTATCATCTATATCAAATCAGCAATAACTGAAAATAGTAACCTTAAGTATTATAATTGGATGAGCAGAGACTGAGAATTACAGATAAAACACTACAACCTCATTGGAAAGCAACATGGTCTTCTGACAAGAACTTTCAAAAACATGTACAGCCCTGACTCAGTAACTTTACTTCCGGAAACCTACCTTTAGGAATTATCTGAAACAAAGGCGAGGGTTTTCCGTTAAAATATATTCAAGTGGTGGGTGGTTGTAATCCCAGCATTTGGGAGGCTTTCCTGTAACTCTGGGACAAGTCCTTAAGAGGTAACAGGGCTATTCTGTTTGATTATAACCAGAATAAGACTCTACATCAGCATCTTCACTACAGAGGACACAACAATTCTGCATATACCATGGATTTCTTTTGATGCCATTTGCTTATTGGAAATTCAGGGTTAGCAGGGTAGCTCCAAGGTAGAGGCCCTGCCTGCAACATGCAACGTTCTGTTTGGTTACATCTCCAGCACTGCTTGCATGAATGAATAAACCAATGATTCAGAGCAAGCACCACTTGCTCATGTAAAAGAGTTGTTCTTCTGCGTGAGAACAGGAATTCAGCCTGTGACAACCTGGCAGGATGCTGGAAACACAAAGACAATAAAGCCTGAGGCAGAAGTGGGAAAAGGGGACAGGTTGACACAAGTTCTCCACTGTAAGTCTGGGTTTCACAGCAGGCAAGAGGCTAACACTTGGTTTTCTGTTTAAGGAAAGCATGGTCTTGGATTATAGTCAGGTATTTGACCACTATCAAACAATTACATTTAAGTAAGTTCATAAATTAAATACCATTTAATAGACCACTTATTTATCTAAACATTTTTATATTTAATACCGTATACCCTTACCTGACAAATTACTGGAAACTTGTCGACACTGAACTAAAAATTCAAACCAAGGGTGAGCTTCATATAATTCTTTCTTTTCCAAAAAAGGACAATTTTCAGGACTGAGTCTGTATTAAAATATAAAGCCTCTCTCTTTAACATGTAATACAGGGTAAGATAGTTATAAGCATTCTTTGGGTGAAAACTAGCATCAGAAAAAAGAATTTTGGAATTACAAAGTGAATGTAACAACATACTCCCATTCGTAATGCTATAGTACCTTACATGTTCTTTATAATTTGGAAATAGAGCAATTCTAAATAGATTTAGACATGACATTTCTTATCATCATGATGAAATTTTACCAACTTTGTAAAAAATTAAGTTACCTTATATTTTACTTTTTTTTTTAACAGTACAAACTTTTAGTATTTTTAAATTTAAGACATTCTTTAAAAACCTTTATGGCACTACAGAGAGACTGGAAATGAGGAGTGAAGGCTCAGAATAGATACTTTATAACATGATTTTAATTTGTTCTCTTGTCATAGTAGCACTGGAGAAACACTCCTACATCTAAGCCTCCATAATATGAACCAGAAATGTATTATTTGTTCAAATTTCTAGTCTTTACTAAATGAAATTTAAAAAGTTCTCTAACAAGGCAGAAATCTGGGCTCTGGCAGCAAAGTAAGCAGAATCCAGCTATGTCACTTATTTGCTGTGTGCCTTAGACTCAGCCTTTCCCAAAGCCTCAGTTACTTCAGCTATCAAATGGAGATGAAGTCCCGCTCTACAGAGATCTTCTGAAGATTAAGTCAGTTAATGCATGCAGGGCACTTAGTCTAGTGCTAAGACCAGCAGAAGCACTGATACAGTCCAGACTACGTTTGTTGTTGCACTACTAACTCAACAACAATCAACATTGGCCCCAAACAGGATTCTGAAGGTTAATCTTAGATAGTAGGGATATACATCTATCTATAAAAATGTTTCAGAGCTTATCTAATGTAATCTGAAGCAACTATAAAATCAAAGTTGCTTAGCATTCTTCAAAATAGAAATATCCAAAAACTCTAAGTGAACTTTTATAATCTTCCTCTTTAAAACTTTTAAAAGTACACCTTTCATTTTAGTCTCACCTCAAGTTATTTAAAAAGTTAACACACCAGTTATAAAATTAGTATCACCAAAAAACCACAGAGGCAAGACTTCTCATGTGTTGGGGGAGGAGAACCTACTTCCAAAGAGCATGATTCTTCATATGAATGCATATTACTCCCCTAACATCCCTTTCCAAGCAGCACGCAAAGAGGCAGTGTGAAAAGTCAATTCTCAGTACTCACTTGTGGTAGTCAAGATAGACATAAAGAAGGTGCTGCAGACCATGTTCTAAACAGTAGAGAATGAAGTGAGAATGGAAATCCCAGCCCGCTTTGGTCTTGTAGTTTTGAACAGGGAGGTTATCTTGCATCACACCCCCAATTCGACTCAATCGTAGGAGGAAAAGTTCAAAGTTTTCTAGTTCAGATGTAAGAAAAATCCCATTCCTACGGGCAAGTTAGAAAGTTGTTAGGTGCAGAGTAGCCTAAATCATTTTCATTGCTTGTCTCAACTACTCAAAAAATAAATATTTGGAGCTGAGGAGTTAGCTCAGCGGCACAGTGTCTGCCTAGCAAGCACAAGTTCAATTCCTGGTACCAAAAAAATATATATATTAAAAAATATTTAAAAATGAAGCCCACCAATTCTTACTCTATAAATATATTCTAAGACATTTATTTTGCTAGTTTTCCACAAAGGTTTGTATACTCATATAGTAAAGGTTAAATATGGTTTCAGCTTATCTTTGATATATCGAAAACCTAACTAAGCCATCTCTCAATTTTTTTGTTTGGAACCATTCAACCCACTGTGGTTAGCTCTTGAAGCTGAATGCTCTAATCACTGAGAAATTCACCAAAATAACCAAACAAAATCACTAAAAAGTTAGAATGATTTACATATACCAACTACTAAATAGGAATTTGCATTTAAATATTACTTTAAAAAATTTATTGATAAACACATATATACATTATAAAGGAGTATACAAAAATGAGTTTAGGGGCTGGGGATTTAGCTCAGCGGCATAAGCGCCTGCCTTGCAAGCAGGCAGTCGCGAGTTTGATCCCTGGTACCGATAAAAACGAAAAAGACAAAAAAAAAAAAAAAAAGAGTTTAAAGAAACCACGTGACTACCACCCAAATTATAGTTAGCTGTCACTGTTATGTAATATGTCATTGCACAATTACAGGACATTTACTACAATGAAAGAACAGTGAATAGAACATTAATAATTCAAGTCTGTATGTAATTGGCTTGGGTAAACTATTCAATTTCTCTCTGAGTTTGACTTGCCACATCTATAAACTGGATAGGACAACAAAACATAAAAATATTCCAATAAGCACAAGCAGAAAATAATATATACAAAGTAAGATTAAGGGTCAGGAACATAGCTCAGGGGCACAGCACCTGCCTGGCCAGCACAAGGTCATGAGTTCAATACCTGGTATCAAAATAAGAAACTTATTAACCTTCCTTATCAAGAGCTATTTTTCCTCTCACTATCTCTGAATCCAGCAATCTTATGAAGTTCAATCAAGGCTACCCACAGCACAGAAATGCAGGCTAATATGGAGAAGAGTGGGTACAATTATAGGACACTAAGGGAATCCCCTCTGCTCTGGTCGCTTGTTCCTTACAGCCCTACCTACAGCAGTTCTATATAAAAGATTTTGGGAAGAACCTACACCTCCAATTTGAGAGCCTATTGAGTATAACATACCATAAAGTAAAGAGAGTTATGATAATGTCCTTTAAACTGTAACAGCCAGGCGTAGTGGTACACACCTGTAACCCCAGCACTCAGGAGGCTGAGGCAGGATCATCAAAAGATTGAGGCCAGCCTGGGCTACATAAGTGAGTTCAAGGCCAGCTTGCCCTATATAACGAGACTTCATCTCAAACAAAACAAAACAAACAATAGCAACAAAAATATATATACAACATGAAACAATACTGCACTGTATTAAAACAACACAAAGAAAAAAATTATACCATTAGATACTTATGTGTATGTGTACATGATATATATATATCTCCCCTCTTTTGTTTCTTTGTAGCACTGGGGACTGAACACAGGGCCTTGAGCATGTTTGGTAAGTGCTCCACCATGACTTATGCCTCCTGTCCTTTCACCATTTCTATTGCTCTGCCTTTTACTCCTACTGGAGATTAATTCAAATTTCAGTACCTGGCTAGCTTATCTAAAATTGCATTCCTCATGTAGTGGTTGCAGCAAGTATTCTGATCGATAACGTCAACAGTCAGAGGGGGCCATTTGTTCTGCTGAAGAGACACATAATTCTTCTGGGTCTGAAATTCTCCAATCCACAAGGTAATGTTTAACCAATCATGATGAGTTGTTAGGTACCTCCAGAGGGTTTCAGGGGAATATGATTTATAATCTACACAAAAGAACAAAATACATTTTAAAATGGCAATGAATTATGACTGGCATGATCACTAATTAATATGAATATAATTATAACTGAATAATATATAAACAATCTAGATAAACACATTCATATAAGGATGATTCAAGTTTTTGCTTTTTTTATGATTTTCCTCTTTTGCATTGTTCACTTTATAGTCAATACTACAGTCAGAGGAAATGCTAAATGGTATATCTGATTACTAGTAAATAAATGAAATAAATGCATTTCACTTGTTTGTCCAACCTTTTCTTCTCCCTCCTTTATTATAAAAAGCTGGCTATGCTAGTAAACGTGAATTTGATGCTCTGAATTACAACTGTTCATTACTGCTATTCTTCAGAGTCCTGATATGATACAGATCCCCAATTTACACAAGAAACTGAAAAACTATTTGGAAAAACAAAGAATGTGACTTGAAATCTAGGATAAAGACACTTAGCCTTGAAATCTCAATTTGCTGAACCATATAACTTTTTTTCTTTCACTATTAGATTGCAATACCATCACAGATAGCTTCAGATAAGCAAGATGTCGTACTGCAGTGACTTGCATTTTAAGGATAATTAGTGTTTTCCCACCAAAAGAATTCTAGGGTTGGTAGCACAAGTCTATGATTCCAGCACTTGGGAGGCTGAGGCAGACTCTAGGCCAGCCTAGGCTACACAGCAAGATACTATCTCAAAAACAGAGATACACACACACATACACACACAACCAAGGAATTCTAAAATAGAAATGCCAAAGTATTCAAATACCAACACTATTTTAATCCTCTTTCAGTATGTTCATATTGTGGGCTCTCTCACACTTACCTTCTGGACTTATCCTGGGGAGAAGGATGTATTCTCGTGTTGGCTGATCCCACCACTGAGCCCAGTTTAATGCAATTTTATGATCCTGTTTATTAAACTCATCTTTATGATCACAGTTGAGGAATGAGTCCAAAACAGATTTGTACTTGAAAAATTCTTGTTCCTTTATCCAATACCTAAAATCCATGACATATATAAACATATATATATATTTGTTTTTGAAGGAAAAGACCATTCCTTTTTATCTGCTGGTTCTATTCTTTTGGGGAAGACACAATTCTGATTATGCATATACTAAAGTGACAGGAAGTTTCTAAGTCTCTTCTGTATAATATAAGTTTTATTTTCCTGGGGAAACTGGCTGAGTTCCATGTAAGAAAATCATGCACAGGAATTTAGCTCAGTAGCCCAAGCAAGTGTGAGGTCATGAGTTCAATCCCTGGTACCAAAAAAAAAAAAAAAAAAAAAAAAGAAAAGAAAGAAAAAAAAAAATCATGCATATAACTTTTTTTTTTTTGAGTACTGGGGATCAAACTCAGGACCTTGTACTTGCCAGGCAGGCACTCATGCTGCTGAGCTACATCCCCAGCCACACACATAACTGTTACAAACTAAACATTATCCACAGTATTCTTCCAATATTATCAAAAGGGGATAATGAAACTACCTGGGAAAGGACTGGATCTGCATCTTTTCTTGGAAGTCTCCCAAATAAAACTTTTCAACTTGTTGCACGAAGTCTATAGTTCTTTTCTCTTTTTCAGAAAGATAATTTTTTTCTTTTAAAATTTCAACCTTGAATTAAAAAAAAAGCAGTGACCGCACAAAAACCAAGCATAAGTAATGAGGTTCAATGCCATTCAAGACTTATATTCTGGGGCCAGGGCTGTACTTTCTTTCCAGTGTGTGAGGGCTCATGTTTGACTCCCAGAACAGCAAAACAAACAAACAAACAAACAAAAAAACAGTATTCTGAACTTCTAAGTTAATGAATATTCAAATTTTATTTTGTCATACATGTTCATCATTTTAAAAGAAGACAAGATGATTATATATTTACTTACTAGATTATTAGTTGAAAATTGGTTTTGAAATTTTTCTTCCAAATTTTTAACTATGGCTTTCCAAAAAAATGTAAGTTACATAGTCTCACCTGTACCTACCAAAAAGTTGCGAATATTTTTATCAGTTGTATAGAAGCATATCTTGAGCAGCTGGTCTTTTACATCAAAGCCCTATAATAAGCCAAGAAAACCAAAAAAGTCTTAGATTTTATAACAACTGTTCTGATATATATATGTCAGATACAGATGAACTTTACAGAAATGTATCCGACTAGAATACCATTTTCGGCTCTTACAAACATTCATTTTCTGTTTTTTCTTATAATTATTATATATACTTACTGCCTATCCCTAAAGTCCTTAAGCATGTCAGAGCAAAGGCAGGACACAGAACGTAAGCTTGGGCCAGACCATAATGATGAAGACACAGTACTCCTTATATAGTTTCATAAACAACTCCTTATATAGTTTCACCTCTCTGCACTTCCACAAGGAACACGGGCAAGACCCCACCATGCAGATTAGGGGAGATTGCAGGTTAGTCCAGATGCCTAACTCCTAAGACTTCTATTCTCAGATGAAGTAAACCTTGGAACATAAAACTGCAGGCAAAGGCATAACTTACCAGAACTTTCAAATGACATGTATGAGGTTACATGAACAATACAGAATGTTCTTCAATAAATGAAGAGGCCCTGTACATGCACTGGTATCACTAGTAAGTGTGAAGTCAAAAGATGCTATCTCCTCCTAAACCAAAATACCAGGCCTAACAGATGGGAAATGATGGAAAGTCCATTTTAAACATCTTATGAAGAGACATGAAAACCATTTACGTGTTTTTCAGTAAATGACTGTATAAAGAAAATGTGATCTGTATATATTCAATGAAGTATTTGCCTTAACAAGAAGTAAATCCTTCCCAGCTATGGAGGCAGGAGTACTAGAAGTTTGACCCCAACACGAGCAACTTCACTGAGACCCAGTCTCAAAAGAAAATTAGAAATGGGCTGGAAGTGTTGCTTAGTGGTGGAGCACTTGCTTATAGCATGTGTGAAGTTTGGGTTCAATCCTCAATATTAAGAAAAAGAAAGAAAGAAAAAAAACCCATTACCTAAAAGGTACCTGAAAGGTAGTGGGGAAGGAGATATAGTTCAGTGGAAAAGGAAATCTTGCCACTTGCCACAATGGAGATAAGCCCAGAGAACATTATGCTAAGTGACAAAAGGAAACACAAAAGACAAGTACTCACACCTACATATGGAATTTTAAAAAGAAAAACTTAACTGATAAAAACAGAAGACAGAATGGTAGAACTGAGGACTTAAGATCAGACAAATGGATTACACTACTTACCATGTTCTTCAAAAGCTCCGAAGCTTCCTTTATATTGTTCTTTTTTAAATTGACAAAGACCAAATCTAGGCCGATCTTAATCAATTCCTCAAGACTTTGAGCAGAATGGTTGGTCATCCTGAAGAAGGTCTGTGCCTCTGGTATTTTATTGTTTAAAATGGCATTGGCAATAACTTCCTAGGAAAAGGAAGAAAAATATTCACTTTTTAAGTTCCTTTTTATTTGTTACTATGATTATCAGCACCTACAAAAATCTACTAGTAGATTTGGAGCTAGGGTGTACGAAGCTGACCAAAACAGGCCCTAGTCTCCAAGCCCTTGCAATCTGGTGGAGGACGTTCGCGTAAAGCGTTGATTACAGTGCTGACTGGTAAGGGCTGTGATAAAAGAATCCCAAGACACTAAAGGAGGGTCCAAAAGAGGTTCATTTACGTAAGAGGGGTTACAACAACAAAAAACCAGAAACTGTTCTATATATACATAGAAAAAAGGAGAGGTGTGTTCCAAAAAGAAGGAGTATTATGTGCAGAGCCTTTAAGGAATTCTAATTTATTCAATATAACTGACAGAAAAGCTGAAGAGCACAGCAAAGGAAACCTGAAGTTCTTAAAATGCAGGAAACCATTTTTTGTGTTATGACACACATTTTTAGGAAAAATATTTGAAAAACAATATGAAAGAGAAACTGAAAGCAGTTCAAGGTCAAGGTATTGAAGTATTAGGTTACTGCCGTAATCCAAGTGAGAAGAAACAAAGACCTAAATTAAAATCCTACTCCAGAGACAACAGAAACAGGGCATTCCCGACTTGGGCCTTCGAGGAATCTATAAACCTTATTAAGCAGCACACAAAATTTTATGTGTTACATACACACATTCATATACATGCTTTCGGAAACAGGATCCAGCTTTCATCAAAATGAACTACAAATTCCTGCCACCAGAAAAAGTTAAAAATCAGAGACCCTGAATACAGAGTGGAGCATCATAGATAGTGGACCACACGAAAAGGATGAAAACAGCAGGAAAAGAAGGCTTTGAAGGAAACAGAACAAGCAGTCAAAAAAAAGAGGACAGCAGGGCATGGTGGCACCTGCCTAAATTCCAGCACTTGGGAGGCTGAGGCAAGAGGGCTGCATTGATTTTTGAGGCCAACCTGAATCACATAGTGAGTTCAAATCCAGCCAAACTCTATAGTGAAATCCTGTCTCAAACAAACAACAGCAGGAAAAACAGGTTGTTTCTTTTTTTTTACCATTACCAGGGATGGAACTCATGACCACGCCCTTGCTGAGCTAAATCCCCAGCCCCAAAACAGGTTGTTTCTAATAAGAGAGTAAGAGATACAGAAAAAATGACCACACCGGGTACTTCTTTATCTATTCTTCTACCCCAAAATAGTCCTGAGGACCTGGCATTAGTTAACCTCTCTTTCACTCTATATTGATTCTTTATCACCCACGTTAAGTAATTCTGGCTTTTGTCTTTCCACTAATCCTACTGTCCATGTGGATGATGGGAAGCTTCAGTCCCTAAGTCTTAGGGCAGCACACTGAGTTGTATTAACTTCTATTGTGAAAAGAAAGGCAAACAAACAGGCATAGAAAACTTAACTGCAAAATAGGTTAGCATTTTAGACAGCAATCAGTCAAGTCCACTTCTAAGCAACCAAGTTGTAAAATAGAAATCTGCTATGATCTAATCCCAGGAGCAACTCAGGTGATTCAGTGGCCAGGTAGAATGGATGGGTCCCGGATTCCAGGCCCAAGCCACTGAGGGAACAGTGAGGGAGACACCTCAACAGTGGGTGTTTGCTTTGGGATCCAAGTGTACAGACCCGTCTGGCCCGGACAGGAAGCCTATCTTCATTCTGAATCAAACGATCAGTTTGTAGATATGAATCTGAAGTAATGTCCAGAGATGTCAAAACCTGTAAAACCTAAAGCCCTTGCTAAAGATTCTGAATCACAGGAATATAGACTCTGAATTCTATTTCTTTTATTGTCTCCTCAGAGGCTCTGGATCTGGCAAATAAAAGCTGTGTGATAATTATATTTACCTCAAAGCTGAGCTTCTCCCAAACAGCAGTCTCCTTTACTGTGGAGATATTTTCAATCACATTACATTCATCTGCAGCATCTGCTAGCTTCCAAGGAAACTTTATCATGAAAGTGCGAAGCTCATTAATGTAGCTGGTCAAAATGTTCACTCCTTTCTGAAGATGTTCATCTAGCTCTACGGGAAATTGGAAAACGCCAATGTGCCAGTTCGTACGCATGTGTGCACATAAGAACGGAAGAGAGACACAGAAAGAATGTGTCACGGCGGGTTATAACTATGAAGACTTCTAAAGAATGCCAAAATTCAAAATGGTTATTTTCAAATTTCAAACAATATGTTTAAAGCTGATTCTATTTATAGGTAGTAGCATTTTCATGTTGTCTTCTTCACAATTCGTTCTGGGCCTTTCAGCCAGGTCTCCCAGGGTCAAAACCCATTTCATTCGATTACACGTTTACTTTAGTCAGCATCAGTAATGGTATTGCACTGGCTTAAGCTCTTTCATGCAAAAGCAACATCTGTACTGCTGTTCGGACAGAGGGCTGGGACAACAAGCCCCCTTGTTGCTGCTGTTCTTACCTTCAGTGTAAATAAAAAGCTCCTTTATTTGCTTGTTAAGGAAAGATAGAGTGAGAGTAAGCAATTGTTCTGAAAAGTGTTTGCTTTGGGTTTCAGAATAATTTTCTTTAATTGCTGAACAAAGTAAATCCAACGCTGGTGTCAGCTCTTCGACATCTGAGAAAGAATCAAAGAAATCAATATGAACACTAGATGACTCCCCATAAAATTAACATATCCAAAAATACCATCTTGTGTTATGTATGAACAAGGACCAATGTCATATCTTCACATAGCTCACAAAACTTTTATGAAGCCTTATCACCTACAAACTTTAATGATTCCAGTTACTAATAGTTATTACTTACTAGTTTTATTGATTGATTGTGACTGGGTCTTGCTGTATAGCCCAGGCTAGGCTTGAATGTGTGATCTCTTGCCTCAGCCTCCTAAGTAGCTGAGATTACATGTACACACCATATTGAGCTACTGATATTAACTATGGCTCTGCTGAGCACCTACATCGTAAGTATTACACACGGTGTCTACAAATGCTATTGCATGTATACTTTTCAACGGAGAGGTAAGTGTTATTTTTGCTTTCCAAAGTGAGGAAACTGAGCGTCAAGAGGACAAGTAATTTGTCCCAGCTAATTTGGAAAGTAGGTGGCAAATTTAAACTTGAACCTGTCAGTGCAAAGGCACTTAAAAATTCAGGATGGACGTGTGTGGCACGCCCACAACACCCTCTGTTTGCAGCTGAAAGCTCTAACGCAGTGACTTCTCTGTCTCCACACTGGGTCTCCCTGTAAAACCGTATCTGTGTGAGGGAGATTATGGGAAACACGGGCTTTCCCCACTTATTCCCATGCTTCTCATTCCAGGCCTATTCCCACCTTTTAGGGCAGAGCAGGGCAGGTAAGAGTAGAGTGAAGAGGGATCACTGACCACCAAACAGCAGGAGTGAATAATGACCACACACTGCAGAGGGAGCACCACTCATTACCACCAACTAGGCCTTCTCTACACATTTCAAGATTTAAAAGGATCGGGGAACACTACAAGTAAACAGAGGAGAAGGCCAGGCACGGTGGTGCACGCCGGTAATCCCAGCACTTGGGAGGCTGAGGCAGGAGGACCACAGGGAGTCTGAGGCTATGTAGTGTGTTCAAAGGCAGGCTGAACTATACGGTAAGACTCTGTCTCCAAAAAAGAAAGAAAGAAAGAAAGAAAAAAGACAGACAGACAGACAGACAGAAAGACAGACAGACAGATCAAACTGCAGTCAAAGAGGGTGAAGAAGTAGGGGTACCAAGTCAGTGTAGATAGAGTACTTGCCTCCCAAGCCCAAGGCCCTAGGTTTGACCCTTGGCGTGTGAGAAAAGAGGAAGAAGAAGGAAAAAAAGAATGGATCTCACTATGCAGCCCAAGCTTGCCTTAAACTCATGGTCGTCTCGTGCCTCAGCCTCCAGAATGCTGGAATTATAGGTGTGTGTCACCATATCCAGATGAGAATGTTTTAAAAAGAAAATTTCTTTTTTTGTTGTTTTTTGTGGACAGGGTCTTGCTATGTAGTTCAGCCTAGCCTTGAACTCACAGCAAACCTGTCTCTGCTTCTCAAACACTCGGATTACAGGCATGTGACGCCACACCTGGCTTAAAAAGAAAATTTGAGTTCATTCGCTCAGTGAGAACTGACACTAACATTGTTTCCTTCCTCAATGTAACTAGAAATACAAATTGCTAAAACTATTTGTTTTTGAGGGTAATTTATCAAGGCTATTAAGAATATACATGGTGAATATTCTTAGACCTAAAAATTCCACATTTAGAATTTATCCCAAGTAAATAATGACACATTATGTGAAATCACACACACACACACACACACACACACACACACACACACACACACACACACAGAGTATTTATGGCACACTGCCAATAATTAGAAACGAGAATCAATCTGTCTAAAGGGTTTGGCTTGGTAAATTATGGAACTGGCCATACAATGAAATCCCATGCCACCATAATTAGTCAGTTATATTATAGAAAGATGTTTACCATATATTATCAAGTGGGAAAAATAGATTATAATACTAAATATATAGAGGGAAACACAGCCTATTATTTTCTCCTTCTAAGGAGAGAATTTGCATGGCCAACTGGTCTAAGAAGAAAAGTAGATTTCTAATTTGTCAAGGAATAATAAAATCTTAAAGTACTGGTAAAGTAGCAACTAAAGATGCCATCAGAAAACAACAATAATTTAAAAGCAATTAAAATGATATGCATAAGTGTGGAAGTCTTTGTTTTACTTACTTCTTAAATATAACTGGGTTGGAAAGTCATTAAATCGATCAGGTATAGAAGATTTTGAAGATTCAGTAAAAAGATTTCTTTTGCTCTTCAAGAAGAAATCTACAGTGTCAAGCTGACGGTTTTCTATTCCAGCCTAAGATGTATGCATTGGGGACAGAAATCAGAGAAAAATTATAATAGGAAAAAAAAATCACTTGGCAGGGTGGGCTGAGGCAGAAGGCTTGTGACTTCAAGACCAGCCTGGGCTACAGTGAGGTCCTTCAAAAAATAAAATAAAATCAGGCTACAGTTTCAACTTCAGAACTTAATGTCCCCTAAAGAGACACAAGGCTATCTTTATTTTGTATCAGAACCTGGGTTCTAGTGAGGATTAGAAAAATGACTAATTAAGAAACCCAAAGCAAACATCTGGAATATTTTTTTTTCAAGACAAGGTCTTTGTTACCCATCTGGTCCTACTAAACTCATGATCCTTCTGCCTCAGCCTCCCAAGTGGCTGGCACTATGGGACTAGAAAACACGTCTAGCTTTTTAATACTTTATAATTCTAAAATCATTGAAAACTAAGTACTTGTGAATCATCCTTTACAGTTAAGTTACAATCTATTTATGAGTTAAAATTTTTTGTTTGTTTTTTTGAGATAGGGTCTTGCTATGCAGTTCATGCTGGCCTTGAACTCACTATGTAACCCAGGCTGGCCTTCACTCATGGATCTTCCTGCCTCAGCCTCCCTAGTGTTGGGATTACAGGCATGTGCCACCATGCCCAGTGTGTATGAATTAAAATTTTATGTCAGGTTAATAATAAATTAACTGATTTCTGGGTCAGTCCCTATGGTACACATAAACAATAACTGAACAACAAGAATAATAAACTGAAAAAGTTGGCTAAAAACAAACTATTTCTAACTAGGTATCTTGAGGAATCTTCTTATATAGAATACACAAAAGCCGCAGTCTAGGGCTGAGGGTTTAGCTCAGTGGTAAAACATCTGCCTAATATGTACAAAGTCTTGGACTCAATCTTGACTACTGCAAAACAAACAAGAACAACAAAACAAACCCACATGGAAAATTTGGCAAAATGTGAATTGCTGACTCCTGCCTCCAGACTTTTGATTCAGTAGATATGGCGGGTGTCTGAGAACTTATATTGCTAATAAATCCCCAGCAATGATGTTGCTGGTTTGGGGGCCATATTTTGAGAAACAATGAGCCTAAATACTGGATGTTAACATATGAGGGAGGTTGGGATGAGAAATACTTAGGAAACACGGAAGAAAAAAAAACAAGGGTTTGTGTAAGGTAACACTCCCCCAAAAAGGAATTAATCAGAAAGTAACTGGCCCCAGAAGGAGATCATAAATTAGCTATGTTTTTGCTCTGGATAGTAGGAGGAAAAACTGAATTGTGTATGATTAAGTAAGAGAATACTTTTGTTCTTAGGAGACATATGTTAAAAGTATTCACAGTGAAGACATGAAGTTTGCAGGGTCAGGGATTTAGGTCAGTGGCACAAGCACCTGCTTAAGCAAGCGCAAGGTCATGAGTTCGATCATAATACAAAGTTTGCAACCTTCAAATAGTTTAGGCAAACAAACACACAAAGTCAAATTATCCTTGTTTGCAAATAGTATGATCCTGGCTTGGTCATGGTGGCACATGCTTGTAATACCAACACTCGAGAGGCTGAGGCAGGAGCATTGCTGTGAGTTTGAGATCAGCCTGGACTACAAAGTAAGACCCTGTCTCAAATAAATAAAACAAACCCCAAACAAGCAAAATAAAAGATGTTATATTTTAGAATACCCTAAAGACTCTACCAAAAGACATTTAGGGGGCCAGGGATTTAACTCAGCGGCTCAAGTACCTCCCAGGCAATTGTGAAGTTGTGAGTTCGATCCTTAGTTCCCCCCCAATAAAAGACATTTAGAACTGATAAACGAATTCAGCAAAGCAGCAAAATAAAATCAATAGCTTTTCTATACACCAATAAACCAGCTGAAAAAGAAATCAGGCCAAAATTCCATTCACAATAGCTAATAATTAAACAAATATATACATAAAAATATGATACCTAGGAATCAATGTAACCAAGGAGATGAAAGACTTAGTTTTGTTTTTTTCTCACAGACAGGGTATCATCATGTGGTTCAGGCTGGCCTTGAACTCACTATGTAGCACAGATTGGCCTTGAATTTGCAGCAATCCTAGCATACTGCAATTGCAAGCATGTACCACCACGCCTGGCTGCAACTTCGTATCATCTCGTATTTTTTAAGTTAAAAGTGTAAACTGCTAAGCAGAGTTGGGGAAATGAAACACACCTGAGCAAATGAAGGGGTAAAGATTAGTTTTTTGGTGCCAGGCTAAATTTCTCTCAAATCTTCAATCATAAGAGTACGTGACTCCAAGTAAAGTGCTACAGACATTTAATTCTGTTACCTCTAGTGCATGTATGGGAATTGAGCATCTCCCCCACCCATTCAGGTGACAGAGAGAGTCCACGATGCTGGCACTTCCATGGATCATCAGTCTGTTTAAAAATTCCTCTTGAGTCAAACCAAACAAAATCAAAGAGAGTCCATTTTCTACAGAAAAAATAAAAATCAGACTTTATCAATTACTAGTTGTTAGGGTACAGAACTAGGAATTCATTTCTAATTACTCAATACCCCAGTACTGTAGTTATAAATATATTTTTTGGATATCATGATTGTGACTTTAACTCATGGTTTTTCAACACTTCCAAGTTTTTTATTTTTAAAGTACTAATCACAAGGCAAATTCATATGAGTGGGGCTGGCGATGTAGCTCTGGGGCACAGTACTTCCACAGCATGAGTGAGGCCGTGGGGTCAAACCCTAGTAACTACAAAAAGCAGTAACAACGCATCCTATGGAATCGCACTGAATTTCACATTTCTACCTTTTATTATCCTGTACAATCAATAATAAAATACCACACTCCTGACACACAAATATTGAGTATCAAAGCTAAGTACAGAAGAAGCAGAATAGTCCAATCACAACCCCTGTAAGTTGTAGGATAAGAAAGTGCTCAACGAAGCATATGTGACATATCCAAATGCCCCACACCAGAAGTATGAGATGGTAAGTACACAGCACTATAAACAAAATAAAATGGCCCATCTAGGAGAACAGCTGAAGTTTTGGTTCAGCTTTTAAGTTCCTATGCAAGAATGCCTGCCCATTGTTGTTAGCTCAGTAATAATAGGAAATCTAGATTTTGAGTAAAATCTTCTAATTCTGCCTACTTATAATAGCCTTTTAAAAAAATCTAGACAGTGCCAACTAAACTTAATAAATTGGTAGTTCATGCATGGCTCATGAGCAGTCAGGTGCAACCTCTGCTTGTACCAAATGAACTCCGATTAAGATTCTCTGGGTAGGGGGCTGGGGATTTAGCTCAGTGGCACCGATAAAAACGAAAAAGCCAAAAAAAAAAAAGATTCTCTGGGTTAAAAAAAAAAAAATTCTCTGGCTTAAAATTTTAACCTTCATTATTCTTAAATTTAGCATTTAGCTGTACAGAAATGATCTTTTTTTAAAAGAGAAATTATCTTAACTAAAAATCAAAATACAAGATAATGTTAGCAAGACTAACAGCAAATTTCATCCACAGGCAACTACCACCTCAAGGTAAGACCAGGCAGGTGTACACACGTGGGCAGAAGCAAAATACATTAAGAAACCATACCCCTGGTAAGGTGTTTCAGCTTGATACGAGACAATCTCACCTGTCAAAACAAAGCATAGCTGCTGGTCTCCACTACTGTCTACAGGAATACACTTCTGGCCAAGGGAGAAACACTGCAAATCCTGGGTCTCCAAATCCCAGAGGAGAATGGTGTAGTCACCCATTTCCACTGCCCAAGTGAACAGGGCAGTGAATCCTGTCACAGACACACATTTGAGGTCTGCCGGTTTGTCTTGTTCACTAAGGTGCATTATCTTCCAGGACCTTCCAGGATCACTTGTCTTGGCATGATCTTTCTGTGGAAGATTACACTGTCCCCAGCTCAGCACACTGGTACCATGATCACCAGATTCAGGGGACTCTAAATGCAAGATATCCCGAAACCATGGAGCACAAGAAATCTCCTGTGTGGAGCTCTTTATTGTTTCATTCAATGATAACAGCTGAGCATTCCAAGATCTGGAAGAGAGAGTAACACACTGGTTACAGTGAAAGGCCCTAAATAGAAACACTAATCCAAGCCAAACATGCCTTTAAAAAGTAAGCACCAACCTAGTAAAGGCCTTTTGCAAAAAGATACTGTGTCAGCACAGAAAAAAATGGAAATAAACCCAGTAAGGAAAGTTGGTTTTTTTTGTTTTTGTACTGGGGATTGAACTTATGACCTTGTGCATGCCATGCAGATGCTTGTGCTACTAAATCCCCAGCCAGGAAAGCAAGTTTTTGTACCTGTCAACCTGGAAGGAAAACTTGGTCAGTTTCATGCTGTGGACAGAGTTAACAGGATCATCCTCATCTATCCCCGTAGGTCCTTGAATAGGAAGATCTTCCGGTGTTCTTTCACAGAGTAAGTATCCTGGGTGTTGCCTACATTTAAAAACGAGAGTCACAGTAAAAATGATAACACAACTTTGTGTTAAAAATGGGGGGAGAGAAAAGACAGCATGGAGAAAAACTCAATAGAACGCATCTCCCTTTACTTACAGTACAGTTATAAGTCAAACTCAAGAATTTGACTACATGAAGGGAAGTTAGCTTTATAAAGTAATGAAACTATTTATTGTCTCCTATATTCTAGATGTTATACTGATCATTTTTCATAAACTTTTTTGTGTGTGTGATTAAGCCCAGGCCATTCACACTGAACGACATCCACAGTACTTTGTTTGTTTTTAGACAGGGTCTCTCTAAATTGCTAAGTTGCCCAGGCTGGGCTTGAATGTGGCATCCTCCTGCTTCATCCTCCCAGAGTGTTGGAGGATTACAGATGTGATACCTGACTAAAATCTGTCATCTGAGCTATATAACATCCTTATTGAGGTAAATCTAGCCCCACTTTATAGATACGGAAACTAGGGGTCAAAGAAACTTTGAACTGGGTCAATTTAACCAGAAAGTCCAGATCTTTATTTTTATTTTTTTGTCTTTTTGAGACAGGGTCTTGCTATGCAGTTTAGGCTCGCCTTGAGTTCACTTTGTAACCCAGACTGGTATCAGAGCAGTAGAGAAAATATTCAGTCAACCCCAGAGAAACTAAGGCTATTTAAAGAGCATTCATGCAAGAAATACATATGGATTATTCATTTAGTTGTTTAGTTACATTCATTTGGAACAGAACCTTAACTCTGGTGAGTTCTGGAAAGCTGCCAAATACACAGTAGACCCCTACACTCAAGTATCAGGCAAGCTGAAAAAGCTTTCCTCCTTTCTTAGCACTCAAACTAGTTTCCAAATGGATGACTAGGAGATGATTCTACATATACATTGTGTGGTTAGTCTGTAAAATATGGACTACTGATGAGAAAACAATCTGAGAATGTACTCCTCATTCCTCCTCAAACATTGAATGGATGGATGCATGCATGCACGAATAAATAAGTTATTAAACAAAATTTTTAAATGGCCCTTTAAAAAAATAGGGAGCAGCGGACATAGCACAAGGACGATGACCTTGCCTACTGGTGGTTCAAACCACCAAGTCCCAGCTGTCTTCGCACCTTGGTTCCCCTCAGCACAGGGCCACAGATGAGTCCACCAAACAACTGACCTGATCAAGAACAACCAACACCCTGAAGAAGCAGTAAGCCCTGAAGTGTCTGTCACTCACAGAGAAATAACAGATACTCCTACAGCACTGGCCCCAAGAAAAGCCCACAGTTAGGATAAACTGAAAATCTTACGTGGCACTTTTCCCATAAGTGACATCATGAGGGGACAGAGTTTGAGAAGAAAGCTGGTGCAGCACCTGCCACAGCGCCAGAGAGTTTAATCCAGCACCTTTACGGGAAGGGGTTGACTGTTCACGGGAAGGGATGGACCACAGAATGATACCACAGCTACACTCCAGGACTGAAATGTTATTCTGCCACAGTGACTGGGTGACAGGCAGTAACGGGAAAGAGAGAGGGAAGGGGAAGGATATAGAGCCTGCAGCCCACAGCGGGAGGCCAGGTTTGCCAGCTGAGATATTCGGAGGTGGCTGGATGTGACGGTGGTAACATTTAGTCCATGGTGTGCCTGAGCCCCATCCTCTGCCTGCATCCAGTGGATGCCAGTGGTCTTATTATAACAGACTGGGTTTGCTTTGGACAGCTGCCACAGTCTGGGTTTACAGACAAGGGGCAGAGACCTTTTGAGCAGAAGGGTGACCTCACAAATCCGCAGGCTATGAAGTGGGGCAGACAGGACTGTGACCTGCTGAATTGTAGGAACTGGGAATGGAGTGGCTCATCTGTAATCCCAACACTTGGGAGGTTGAGGCAGGAGCGTTGCTCTGAGTTCAAGGCCAGCCTAGGCTACATGGTAAGTTCAAAACCAGCCTGAATCTCAGGGTAAGACATTCTCTTTTCTATAAATAAATTTATTGGTACTATTTAGACATGCATAATAACCACATCCATCGTAGGGAATTTGTACCCGTACATGAAATATCTTAGTTCCTCTTTTTTTCCCATTTCCCTACTCTCTGCAACTCTTCTGCCCCTCCTTATTTACAAAGCTTTGTTTCCATTTTATCCTTTTTTTCTTACTTTCCCCCTTCCATCCCTCTTTGATTATCCTTTTCCTTTGAACAATTACTTCCTACTTCACAGTATCTAGTATACAATATTTACACGTGTGTCCGATTTATTTCATTTAAGAGTATGGCCTCAATTATGGTCTCCATGTAGCTATAAATGCCTCAATTTTACCCTTCTTTATGGCTGAGTAGTACTCTATTCTTTTTTTTTTTTTTTAAAAACATCATTTTTACCCATTCATTGGTTAGTGGACATCTGGGTTGTTTCCAAAATTTAATGATTATAAACTGTGCTACTATAAATGTGGGTGTGCATATATTGCTGTAGTATGTTTTTAATTCTTATGAGAAGATAGCAAGAAGGGAAATAATTGGGTCAAATGGAACCTCAGGTGCTAGTTTTTCTAGGAATCTTCAAACTTATTTCCACAGTGGTCGCACCAGTCTACACCCCCATTAACAATGGAGAAGGGTTTCTTTTTCTCTCTAGCACTGCCAGCATTTGTTATTTGTCAATGGTTGTTATTGATAGCAGTCATTCTTTCTGGAGAGAGATGGCATCTCAGAACTGTTTTAATTTGTGTCTCTTAAATGATCAATGATGTTGAATATTTCTTCATGTGTGTATTTGTCATTTGTACTTCTTTTGCGAAGTGTTTATTCATTTTTAGATGCCCACTTTTGGATTATAAGACAATCTCTCAGAAAACAAAAACAAAAAGCATCAACAACAGACTGTAGATCCTAAAAGGAAACCACTCAGTTGGAAATACAAAGTATGCTTTTACGTTTTGATTCATTTTATTTTCCTTGTATTTTTTGTTTTGTTTCCTTGTTTTTTATCTATTTAAAAAAAAAGCCTCATGAATTTGCATGTCATTCTTGCGCAGAGGCCATGTTAATCTTCTCTGTATTGTTCCAATTTTAGTATGTGCACCCAAAGTGAGCACTTATTATCTTTCTTTGATTTGGTCCTCTTTTTTTTCCTCTTTCTCTTTTAATTTTTTCCCTCAATATTTTTCTTTTTTTCCTTTAGTTTTTTCTCTACTTTCTCCTATTTCTCCTTGTCTTGGTTACTTTTCTCTCATTGCTGGGACAACCTCCAAATCTGGGAAGGAAAAACTTACAGCTTTTGGAGTTTCAGTACATATTCAGCTGGCTCCAAAGCAAGGTGGCATGGCTAAGGGGCAACCATTCATGGCAGCCACAAGTGACAAAAGCAACAGGGTAAACAAAAGTGGAAAGTTGTCTCCTTTCCTCCCTTATATTGTATGGCAGCTCTACCCCTGGGTGGGTGCAGCACTCACACCGCCAATCCCAGCACTAGACAACAAACCAATCACAAATGTTAGATCCAACCGCCTCCAGGACTGCATGAGGCTGGGGGGGCCACCCAGACACAAACCATAGCACTCCTTTTCCTTATTTTTTTATTTGTTATTTTTATCTAATGCAACTATTTTCCCTTTACTTCTCAATAGGATCCTTTATTTCACTTTTATCATGTTATTTTCCATTGCTTAATTTTTCAAATTCTACTTTTTTCATGATACCATTCCTGCAATTTGTATCCTTACTAGTATAGCCATAAGGCACCATGAATCTATAAGTAACTATACCTTACTATGGTTGAACACTGTTGTATTGTTAGTGGAGGTAAAGTTGTTCCATTGAGTAGATATTTACTGTAAGTCAATATCTGGTTTTGGTATTTCTATTACGTTCATATATGCCTTTTCTATGGGTAAGGGTGGTACACTGTAGGTTTTTAGGATTTGTCAAGATCCAGTTGGTATTTAATATTATTGTTGCTGATTTTACCACTACAGCAGGTGGCAAATTTGTTGCTAGCAACTGGTTTTCTTTGTATGCCAATATCCGAATTACCTGGGGGTCATAAATAATATTATGGCCCATCCTCAAAGAACTGGTACTGGAGGGGCTGGGGATTTAGCTCAGTGGCATAAGCACCTGCCTTGCAAGCAGGCAGTCGTGAGTTCGATCCCCGGTACCGATAAAAAGAGGAAAAAAAAAAAGAACTGGTACTGGGCCAAATAAGTTGCAATCTCCTCTCCCAAACAAATGCAGATGACTGGATTCTGGGACACAGGCAAAAGCCAATAGTTTGCCATGGTCGGTGAGTACAGCTGAAAAGTAGATATTAACTAAAGATATTTCCATACTAACAACAAAACTATAATCACTATAATCAACCTACAAGCCTCATAGCAGGAAAAAAATAGAAAACAGAAGCATAAGAGGACAAGGCAACAAAATGGCCTCAAAAGCTCCCAACTCCCTCAAAGACAACCCAGGGAATATTGAAAGGGAAGAAATCAAAAGCCATACAGCTGAACTAACTGAACAGCTACCTAAAAGGATAACAGTGGAAGTAAGAAAATAGGTAAATAAGGTGCTTGGTTAATTCAAAGAAGATATAACTAAACAATGACCTTAATGAAACAAATGATCAGTGAGTTTACAGAGGACACTAACAAGAAATTAGTGGAACTGGGCCAGTGATACAGCTCAGTGTCACAGCGCCTGCCTGGCATGCACAAGGCCCTGAGTCTGATTCCCAGTATAAAAAAAAAAAAAAATTAGTGGAGCTAAAAGAAGAGATGTAAAACATGAAGGCCCAGCACAGAAAAGAACTAACAGTTCATAAAAAAGTTTTAATAGCCAGGAGTGGTGGCTCACACCTGTACCCAGCACTCGGGAGGCTGAGGGGGAGGATCTTTGGGAGTTCAAGACCAGCCTGGCCTAGAAAATAAGCTCAAGGCCAACCTGAACTACATAGCAAGACCCCGTTTCAAAAAAGACAAAAAAAAAAAAAAAAAGTTTTAATAGAAAATCCAGGAGACTAAAAATTTTATCAATAGTTTGGGCAGCAGAAGTGGCCAGGTCAATGTGTGGAAGGAAGGCCAGATCTAGAAGAACAGGGCTGTGGTTGGTGATCAGTTAATGACACATGCCTTAAAAACAAGAGAACATTAAACCCAACATGAGAACAGAATCATAAAAGCTATTAGAAAAAAAGCAATAAATCTTTTATGAAGGAAAATCCATTAGAATTATACAGATTGCTCAACACAAACCCTAAAGGCAAGGACATATTGGAGTGAAATGTTTCAAAACTTAAAAGACAACAACTTCTAAACCAGACTGATATATTCAGCAAAATTATGTTCCAAAATTGATGGAGAAATAGTTATTTCCATGATAAAGAGCAACAAAAGAAATTCATTACCATCAAGTCAGAACTTCAAAAAAAATTCTCAAGGATATCCTAAAAAAAGACAATAAATCTAATAAAACTAAGATAGCCAATAGAATGAATGCACAATAGGGTGAGGAATTAAGTAGAAAGGAAAGAAAGACAATTAGCACCAGGAAAATAACACAATGATAGGAACAAGTCAACACCCATTAGTCATAACTGTCAATGTAAATGTTCTCAATTCACCCATCAAAAGACACAGATTAGCAGTACGGATCAAGAAACAAAATCTAATAGTACATTATATATATTTATTCAGAAAAGAAATTCATAGACAAAATCAAAGGATGAAAAACAACATTATAAGCAATGGAAACCCAAAAATAAGCAGGAACAATTATCCTACTTTTAGACAAATTGGATCTCAAGCCAAAACTTGACTAGAAGAGACAAAAAAGGATATTATGTAGTGGTTAAGGAACTATTCAACAGGAAAAAACAACAATTAATAATATATATGCACCTAACAATGGTGTGTCTTAACTTCATAAAACAAACACTACTGGACATAAAAAAAAATCAGATAAACATCAACACAATTATAGTGGGGGATCTTAACTCTCAACTATCATAAACAGACAGATCTACTAAACAAAAAATTAACAAAGAAATATCAGTTGAATCACACCTTTGAACAAATGGACTTCACAGATAAACAGTATTCCACCCAACAACACACTTCTTATTCAACAGTATATGAAACTTTCTCTAGGACAGACCATGTACTAGCCAATAAAGTATACTTAAATAAATGCAAAAGCATCAAAATTTTCTGTGTAGATTACAGAGAATGATGCAATGAAACCAGAAATTAATAGCAAGAGAAACCACGGAAATTATGCAAATGCATGGAAATTAAAACACTGTTGAATTATCAGTCTCAGAAGAAATTAAAATGAAATATGAAAAGTTCCTAGAATTAAATGACAATACCAGTACAATAAATCAGAATTTATGGGATACTATGAAAGCAGTCCTTAGGAGGGAAGTTGCTGTGAATGCCCATATCAGAAAAGATATAGGCATTCAAATAAATAATCTAACAATGCACTCCGAAGTCTTACAAAAACAAGAACAATTCAGAGTTAGTACAAAAAAGGAAATTATGAAGATCAGAGCAGAAATCAATGAAACAATGGCAACCCCCCCCCCCAAAAAAAAACCAAAACAACAAAAAACCAATGAATCAAAGAGCTGGTTCTTTGAAAGAATAAACAAAACAAAGAAACCCTTAGCCAACTGAAAAAAGAGACCCAAATCAGGAATACTGGAAATACATGTGATTTCACACTGGACACTCATGAAATTTATTAGCAACTACTGTACTTTACACTGCTGAAGACTACTAGCAACTACATTTCACAAATCCATACTCCAATAAACTGGACACGTCAGGGAAATGGAGATTCCTAGAGATATATGAATTACCAAAACTGAACCAAGAAGACTTAAAATCCTGAATAATCTAAAAACAGGTAATTAAATTGAAAAAGTAATTTTAAAAAAATCTAGCAACTAAGAAAAGCCCAGGGCATGATGGATTCACTGATGAATTCTACAAGAACCTTACGGAAGATATAACTTCAGTACTCCTCAAACCCTTTAATGAAATCAAAAGGGAAGGAGTATTCCCGAAGTCATTCCTGAAGAACAGTATCATGCTGATTCTAAAACCAGACAAGGTTCCAACCAAAAGAAAGAACCACAGGGCAGGATCTCTAATGAGCACAGATGTGAAGTCCTCAACAAGATACTGGAAAATACAATGCAAATAAAAGATAAAAGATTATATACCAAATAAAAGATTATATACCATGACCATATAGGCTTCATCCTAGGGATGCAAGGTTGGTTCAACATATGTAAATCAATAGATATAACACATCGTGTAAATAGAAGCTAGGACAAAAATCACATAATCATCTCAACAAATGATGAAAAAGTAAAAAAATCCAACACCCATTCATGATGTTTTTGTTGTGTTATGTTTGTTTTAAAAGAGGGTCTCACTATGTAACTCAGGCTGGTCTTGAACTCACTATGTACCCTAGCTAGACTTGAATTTACAGTGATCCTCCTGCCCCAATTTCCAAATGCTGGGATTATAGCATGTGCCACCACACCCAGCCCACTCATTCACGATAAAAAAAAAAAAACTCCAGAAAGTAGATACAGCTATTCCTCTTTTAAAGACCTACCTGTTTAACAACTGTTTGGACTTCTGACACAGGCATGCTGTTTGGACTTACAACCCTTTTTGCGTGTGTGTGTGTAGTTCTGTACATCTTGTTTATAGAGCTTTAAATTTTGCTCTGTAACTACACCTTGTTCATACTGTACTGTAATTTTTGCTGACTGCACTGTATAGTACTGTAGTTTTATGTTGTTATACATTACAGTACTGCATAAAAATAAAAGCAGAGTCATCAAGTTGAGTTTAACCATTTCTTTGTTCTTTTTGTTTTGTTTTGCTTTTGTTTTTATTGGTACTGGAGATCGAACTCACGACCATGCGCTTGCAAGGCAGGCGCTTATGCCACTGAGCTAAATCCCCAGCCCCCATTTCTTTGTTCTAAATATTGTAATGTACATACGATGTACAACTTCTTATATAATGAATAATTCATTTAATGATCAAGTTGCAGGACCATAATCAATTGTATATAAAGAACTCAAAAAACTCTGCCATAAAGAAGGGTAAGTTTGTCACACATCTAGGGAAATGGATGCACCTTGAGTCCATACTTTTAGGTGAAATAAATTGGACACACGTGTAAATACCGCATTATTTCTATGATGTGAGAAACCAAAAGTGTAAATAAGGACAAAAATGTGTAACAGGTACTGTGAAAGAGGAAGGAAATGTTCAAATGGGGAGGGGAACAAGGGAGAGAGGAGGAAAGAAGGAAAAAGCCAAAAAAAAAAGCCACAGTAATTTACATACCTGAAATATAAATTTAAGTTAACAGCAATTGCTGAATTGGAAGAGCTGACAATCACTATAACATCTAGGTCTTGAGACACTTTCAGTGAGGAAAAGGAAGAAATCTTGACTGGCTCCTGCTGCTGCTCATTGTATATATCTTCTTGGTGAAGTGCCAAATCTACATTAGCCACATGTGTGCCATCCACAGTGTCAAAAATATCTTTGAGTTACAGTTAAAGGAAATGTTTTATAAATACACCACAACATTTAAGATACAAGATGAGACAGGGACTACAGCTTTTAATGTTATAACCTGAAATTTTCATTATAGCTACAAGAGTACAGCAGTGAAAACAAACCTAAAACTTGTCCAATAACTGAATCAAGTACTAACTTTCAAATCTAAAGGAATTCAATAAACTATTAATAAAATTAAGAATTCAAGTTCCAAGTCATGATGTCCAATTAGGTCTCAAGTCATGCTGTCCAATTACAAATGCTCAATAGCCCATATTCACAGTGATAACCTGCAAAAAAATTAACTTGATCTAGTGCTTTAAACAGTTTTTAAAAAATGGTATGCGTGTGGGGCATGGTTGCACACTCCTGCAATCCCATTATTCAGGAGGCTGAGGCAAGAGAATCGTAGCAAGTTCAAGACCAGCCTGGGCTACAAAGTGAGCTCAAGGCCAGCCTGAACTCCACAGTGAAATCCTGTCTCGAGGCTGGGGATTTAGCTCAGCGGCATAAGCGCCTGCCTTGCAAGCAGGCAGTCGTGAGTTCAATCCCTGGTACCGATAAAAAGGAAAAAGACAAAAAAAAAAAAAGAAATCCTGTCTCAAAAAGACAAAAAAAAAAAAAAAAAAAAAAAAAAAGAGCTATGTATAAAATAGAAAATGATCCTTTTGATTTAGAAATAAAAGTCCAAAAATCATACATAGGGGAACTTTTCAAATCTTCAAAATAATTTTGCCGATGGTCTACAGATCCAGATAAAGATCCTCTAGTATTTTCGGAAACCAAATTAACAACAGTGAAGCACACTCATTCATCAAGATGATGGAGAACTGGGGATGGTGCATGTTTGTAATCCCAGTCCTTAGCAGGCAGAAGCAGAAGGAGCCTGGGGCACACAGTAAGTGCAAGAATAGCCTGAACGCTATAGTGAGACCCTGTCTTAAAAAAACCAACCAATCAAGATGATGGAATCTTTGCTGAACATAAGGGGTACATCATACATAAAGTGATATGCATTACATAATAAACTGTCATCTAAATCCACCCTGGAATGTTCTCATGGTAAGTGCTTCAAGAAGAACATATATTTTGGTTTTGTTTTTTTGAGACAGTCTCACGATGAAGTTCAGATTGGCCCTGAATTCACTCTGTAGTCCAGGTTGGCCTAAAACTTGCAGCGATCCTCCTGCTTTATCCTGCCAAGGACTGGAATTACAGGTATGTGTCACCATGCCCAGCTTCAAGATGCATACTTTGAATAAATATACATATGCAATATTAAAGAATGAAACTATAAGATGACTATGTGTGAATATATTATTTATGTATATGGCTAAACTTTGGAAGAGATTTGAACACAACACAAATCATATGGTTATGCTAAGTATATGAGAATCTTTTACCTTGAAACGCTGTACTAGAAAACTATCCATTCTCTTTATATCCCGGCCCTTTCTCCTCCATTACACCAGTCAGCATCTTTATTGCTAAGGATACAGATCCAGTTTAAACTACTCAAAACAAAAAGAATTCCTCTGCAGAGCTGGCAGTCAATGACAGTGTCCACTGTTTGTGCAGGTAAGGGTAACGTGAAACAGCTGAGCACTCTAATCTCAGCGTCTTTCTCAGGAAATACAACATGTAGGATGACACATTTGTTGATGAATAATAATGATGTGTTATTGTGAAATGACAGAATTCTCAAAGACAGTAAGGAAAGACCTATAAAACAAAAGGATACTTCAAATCCACTGCTTACAGTTTTTTAATTGGTAAATTTGATCTTATTAACATAACATAGGAAAACAAAAGAGAAACTGCACTTAGCCCAACTAACTCATGGCAATTATTGTTCATAGCCACTTAAGCAAGTGGTCACTGGGTGATAGGTAAAAGGAAGAACAAAATAGCTTACAATGTCCCTGGTTTCTTCTGTTTAAGTTCAGTCCAACAACACACAAGAAAGAACACTCAAAGTCAACTTAGCTGGGCATGGTGACACACGCCTGTAATCCCAGCACTTGGAAGACTTGAGGCAGGAGGGTTGCTACCAGGTCCAGTTCAGCCTGGGCTACATAGTGAGTTCAAGGCCAGCCTATACTACATAGTGAGACTCTGTCTCAAAAAAAAAAAAAAAAAAAAATTCAGTTTAGGACTGGGTTTGGGTGCACATGCTTGGAATCCCAGCACTTGGGAGTTTGAGACAGAAAGCTTGTCAGTTCAAGGCCAGTGTAGGGCAGGGCACATACTGAGTTTGAGGTCAGCCTGAACTACACAGTGAGACCTTGTCTCAAAAAAAGTCAATTTACACAAGGGACTCCCACAATAACAATAAGAGATTTTTTCTTTTCTTTTTCTTTTTAAGGAAAAATGAAGAAGGAACCTTATGATCACGGGTAGACAGTATGTAACTGCCTTAACAATAGAGGCCTGGGTACTTTGATTTCTGCTTCCTGACGCCATCAAGACAGGTTATAGTGAACAGCTCTGTAGCAGCATAGATCAGCACTGTCCAAGAGAAATACGTAATCAACTTGAATAGCATGTATTATTTAACCCATATCTAAAATATCATTTCAACATCTAATATAAAAAATTACTGAAATAATTTACTTTCCTGGCACTAAGTTTTTAAAACCCAGAAGGTATGTAACATATAAAGCACGTCTTCATTCATACTGACCACAACTGAAGTACTCAGTAGGTCCGTGTGGTTAGTGGCTACTACCTGGACAATGCAGACTCCCTCACTGGTTTCATTTCCACGAAAACTTCTCATGAAATATATAAAAGTGCATAAATATACGTCACAAATTTCAACACATGGAAAGACCATCTGTGGGTACTTACTGATATCTTGATCTTCAATGAGCTTCTGCAGAGTCTTCCCACTACAGCTGTGCAATACAGCTGTGTCACATCTTCCATCTTTCAAATCAAATTCGTAGATAAGGAGCTCATAATTTTCACTAAGAGCAAGCAGTTTGGGACTGTGTGTTGGTGTGCTGCTATCAGAATCCTCCCACATAAACCTAAAGGAGAAGTTTAGATTATATTCTATATCTGCAATCACATATATGCACAATAGGAAGCATGGAAGTACAGGATGAGTACAGGTTAGTTCACCAAGTATCAATTCTACATTCCAACTTAACAGAAATAAACTTCCCTAAGACTTCCCTCCTCTTCTCCCTTCCCCTTCCTCATTTCTTTCTCTTTACATTAACATAAGAATAGAGAAGTGGGTGATAAAAAGTGGCACAGGGCAGAAAATATAAAGTCATCTATAATTTCTTCACTTTTTAAATCTTGACTGAAGCTGGAATTGTCAAAAATAAGTACCAATAGTTAAGTATGTAATATATTAATGAAGTGGTACTCACAATAAAATAGCCTTTGGCTACATTATATATTTTCAAAGACTTTAAAAACAAAAGTGATTCTTTCTTTCTTTTTTTTTTGTCTTTTTGGGAGTGTTTCACTATGCAGTTCAGGTTGGGCAAGAACCCACTTTGCAGCCCAAGCTGGTCTCAAACTCCCAGCCATCCTCCTCCATGCTATCACACCTAAAAGTGATTCTTTATACTCATCAACTCTGAAAGTTCAGCTGGCCATGATGCTGCACACCTGTAATCCCAGTGCTTGGGAGGCTGAGGAAGGACTGCTGTGAGTTCAAGGCAAGCCTGCATTACACAGTGAGTTCAAGGCCAATCTAAACTATATAGAAAGACCCAGTCTCAAAACACAAAACAAAACAAAGCCTCTGAAAGCTCCAAGATAGTACATTATAGAACAAGTCTGTCCAATGGAACTTTTTGTGCTAATAAAAATGTTCTATATTAGTGAAGCTAATAGTCAATATGTGTTATGGAGTACTTGAAATGTAGGTAATACAACTAAGGAACTGAACTTCAAATGTTGAATTTTATTGGCCACAGGTGGCTAATGACCACCACACTAGACAAAACACAGTTCTAGAATTCTTTTTTGCTGTTGTTTTTTGAGACAGGGTCTCACTATGTAGTGCAGGCTGGCCTTAAATTCATTTAAGTAGCCCAGGGAAGCTCAAAATCATGGCAATCCTCTTGCCTCAGCCTCTTGAGTGCTACAATTATAGGCATGTGCCACCTTACCAGTTTATACTTATAAAATTGTTAAGCACTGAGAATGAAAAGAATTCTAGCTAACAAAGGTGGAAAGAGACTAACAATGCCATATCTTCAAATTTAATATTCAATTACATTTAAAAAAATTTTTAAAAAGGGTCCAACCCAGGTACAGTGGCATTTGCCTATAGTCCCAGATATTCAGGAGACTAAGGTAAGAGAATTGCTTGGTAGGATGCCACACTAAGCAATATAGCAAGACCCTGCTCAGAAAAAATTAAACAAAGGGCCCAAATCTGAAAACAATGGAATAGAATAAGACTACCATGATAATAAAGTTTCATTTTAGAGCTGGGTGTGGTGGCACACACCTGTAAGCCCAGCACTTGGAAGATCTGAGGTAGGAGGATCAGAAAGTTCAGGTCAACCTTAAGAGCAAGGAGACCCTGTATCAAAACCAAAATCAAAAAATAATTTTCATCACCCACCCCACCCCTTTGTAGTTCAGGCTGGCGATCCTACTTCAGTGTGTCAAATCCTGAGACTACTGGCATGTGCCATCATGCCCAGCGCTCATCTTTTATCTTTTTTCCCACCTTCTATCATTTAAAACTTTCTTTTTCAGTTGGCATGCTTGTAATCTCAGTACTGAGGGAAGCAGAGGCGGGAAGACTGCAAGTTCTAGCCCCACTTGACCAATTTAGTGAGACCCTGTCTCAAAAGAAAAAAAAAATATTTTAAATGGCCTGAGGATGTAGTGTAGAGTGATTTTGATTCCCTGTACAGCCAACACACAAACAACCTTTGTTTTTTGTACAGAATTAGTAAGCATTACATAAATAAGGAGAGGGGTTTGGTGCTATTAAGTCCTTAGTAGAGAAAAAGATTGACAACATTTCACATATTTGTTTTTGTATCTCGACTGGTTTTTCATAAATACCCGATTTCTGACTGTTTACATTGACAATCTGGAAAACCTAAATATCAGCTATAGAAAAGCTTAGATAAACTAAAATAGTATCTAAAAGGCAAACACCATTGTAACACCATTAAAATCATAAGCACATGAACTAACCTTGCTACCTGGAAAGACAGTTCATTTTAGATGAAAAGAACAAAATACATAATCTGCAAAAACTGCAATAATATAAAAGACATATTTTGAGAAAAGTAGGAAAGCATTTTATTTTCTTGTATTGTATTTGTGGTACCGAGAATCGAACTCGGGACCTTGTGCTTACCAGGCAAATGCTTATACCACTCAGAGCTCTAAGGTATTTTAATTGAATTAAAGTTCAGCTCAATTCAAATTAAAAAGTCAAAAGGCAGCCCTGTTGGCTCTCCTCGCCTCTAATTTGATGAACTGGAATATGAATAACCGATTATATCGTTTATGTCTTATCTCCTCTGATAAGTTCTCAAACACCTGCAGAATCTCTCATACAGACAGAAAAGATACTGCTGTTCTCTCTGTCCACTCTACTGGGATTGATACTTGATACAACTGAACAACTTCATGCAGATTCTTATTCCTACCAACCAGACATCAATAATAAAGTCAAGACGACTTAAATTAGTCAGAACCCAAGTCGGCACCTTTAACTGAACAAAGTGGGGAGAGTCCTCGCTGGGTGACAATATGTGCTGAAAGAACGAAGCGATCAAGCACGGTTTGCGAGGTCTGGAGAGGGGCGGGTCGCGCAGGTCGCAGCAGGCGAGTGTGGAGGCGTGGCCAGGTCCCAGGCCCCCTCGGACTGTCGCCCGTCTCCCCCACGCCACACCCGGAGGGCGCAGCAGGTTGAGGCTGCGGACTCCACCTAGCCGCCCAGCTTCCCGCCGCACTTACTGCTGGTAGGGGCCCTCGAGACAGCAGCAGCCCCCGCCCCGGCCGCCGGGCATCAAGGAAAGCACTTGAAGGCTGCCCGCACACGTCAGACTCCCGAGGGCCTCCTGCTCTCTGTGCAGCTGCGCCCGGGGGCCCAGCAGCCTCGTCGCCTCTGCGGGCACCGGCACCAGCAGCATAGGTAGGACACACTCCGTGGCCTCTGCGAAGCAGCTCCTGCCGGGCACTCGCTCGGCCGCAGCCATGTCTGCCTTGCCCGCCCCTCCTGGAGCCACAGCCTCCAGCGCATGCGCAATGCTGCGAGCGGCGCCGGCGCTGCCTCGTGACTCCCACCGGAAGCGCCCGGTGTGTCTGCTCAGTCTCGTTCCCGGGAAAGGCGGCGGGTACCCAGCTACTCCAAAGCAACAGCTGCCCCTCATTCCGACTGGTTACTTAGGAGTACGTGAAGGACGAGTTTAGCTGTTATTCTTCTGTGTGGTTGCCATTTGCCTTCCTAGCTCAACCACCTTTTTTGTGGAACCTGGCTCCTGCATCTTAGCTTCTTCCTATGTAGTTCACAGGCCATCGGGTGGTGCCACTTCCTCGGTAGTAAGAACCAAGCCTCACAGTATTGATCCATCATTGAACTGAGAGCTGGGCATACAGCTCAAGCGACACTAGATCCTGCCTGGCAAGCCTAAGATTGAGAGTTTGATCCCTGGGCCAAAAAAAAAGCGGGGGGCGGGGGGGGGGTTGAACTGAATGTTGAGGTCAAATAATATCCATTGTAACAAGCAAAGGGACGGAATAGATAAGTAGAGATTACAGAGCTCTTGTTTCCTTATTTTTGCTTTTCTCAGAAGTGTTTTAACACATTCTACCTTCCATTTGGAACGTTTCAGCTTAATGTAATGTCTAGTAATAGGCCACAGACCAGCACTCCCAAGTCCCCTCCACTCCATCACTGTAACCACCCATTTTCCCCATAATAGTTATCACTACTTAACAGTTTGTCAGTGCGTGTCCAACCAGAAAGTAAACTTCAAAAGATCAGGGGCTTTCTGTTGCTCTTTACATTGCTTCTTGTCTAAAAAGCTGCCTGTTTCATGAAAGGCTTTGACTGCAATTTGTTGATGGATATAACCTTGTTTGTCAAAAAATGAAACCAAACATTTCCTATCCTGAGGAGAGATACTTATATCCAGTCCTCAGGGCTATTTATATAAAAACATTGAAGCACAGTCCCAGGTTAAACTTTTGTTTAGGATAGACAAGCTTGACCCTTACAAAGATTTAATACAGTCACTCATAGAAAGATGCTGTTCATTATAGCTTCAAAACTTAGAAATTTAAACGCATCATTTGATTACCTTTTTAATTGTCTTTTAATCCCCCCCTTATTTGTAGGAACATTTATATTTTAACAAAAGAAATGAAAATATTTGCAGCAGTCTTCCAGTATCTTGAGGCATGAGCAATAACTTCAGATTGTCTGGATTGCAGTAGAGAGCTCAAACAGCTTCATGTCTGAGAATTTAACTTCCTACATACCGGAAGAAGTATCCCAGAACAGACTGACCAGTGGATCAGACAGCCCTATGAAGAGAATAGGTGTTAAATAACACATACAAAATGGAGTTGTTGCAGTTAACTAAAACCTGACTGTAGGTGGTAAAACTTGAGGACAGTAGACCTCTATGTTGCTCATCCTTCTATTCTGAAATAGTTCCTTGCTAATTTTTGAATGAAAGAATCAAATCAGCTCTTGCCCTCCATATGACTGCAAATGACCAAAAGAGATCTAAAATTAAAAGGTTTGAGTGAATAAATTCTTTTTGTTATTTTTTGCCTTTTTGAGACAGAGTTTCACTATACAGTTCAGGCTGACTTTGAACTCATTATGTAGTCCTGGCTGGCCTCATAATGAATGATCTTCCTGCCTCAGCCTCCCAAGTGCTGGGATTACAGTTGTACGCCACCATACTGGCTATAAATTTTTTTTCTTGGTACTGGGTATTGAACTCACAACCTTGTGCTTGCCAGGCAGGCACTGTGCCTCTGAGCTAAATTTCCAGCCCTTATAAATTCTTGAATGAATAATTCACTTTTTCAAATCAAGCATTTCCCTCAGTAGGACTATACATGACAAATAAGGTTTAAAATAAAAAAGTTCAGCTGCAGAAACAGGTTGTAGGGTTCCAACTTGGGTCAGATTACTCAGTAAATGCCAGTGTCTTGAACTCTTTGAAAGGATGTTATCCTCTATATTCTTAGTTTAACTTTGAGATGGGGCTAAATTCCTATGTCTCAAAGCTGGGCAGCTTAAACCATCTGTGGTATGTGCATGACTGTTCCAGTTCTATGACCAGTGTACAAACTGCCTGATGGGACAATCATGCATGTACCGCAGATGCTTCAAGCCAGCAGGAACCCATTAGAGCAGTGAAAGAGAGATTCTGGATTGGGCTTGAACAATGGGCTGTGACCTTCATTCTGCCATCAAGTTACTCCATCCTGGCCTCAAGCTGCTGAACCAATTGTTTGTCCAAGTGGTGACAGAACAGGGAAAGCAGGTTGCTGGGGAAGTCCAAGGGTTCTGCGAGAGAGGCTGTAGGCAATCGAGCTATCTCCCAGCCAATCAGAACTACCATGTCTGTCCTGGAGAGCAGAAAAGAAACACAGCCAGAGTCTTTGTATTTATGAAAGAAACAGACTTAGGCTAAGGTTCAGTATTCCCACTACTACTATCACAACCGCCAAACCAAAGATAGTAAAAGAAAAATTGCACATTTGGTATGTGCCAGACAGTGCTTAAACTTTACATATCTTCTTTTCTACTTAATCTTAACTCCCAGGGATCAGTACTATCATCTCTACATAAACAGACTAAGAAGTAAAATAACTTGCCCCAGGTTGTATAGTTTGGCAAGTGACAGAGATAGAACTTGCGGTCTGTGACTCTCAGCCTTACCCTTTTAATTATGGTTACACTGATTCCCATGGAAGGAAGACCAGCACACTGGGGTACTATTAAAAACAAAACAAAACAAAACAAAACAAAACCAGACATGACCCTGCTACTTTTGGGCCTAATCATCTCCCTAATAGTGGAAATGCCACTCAGGAAATCTCTCACCTGGCTCACATCCCAGGAATATTTCAAAAACTATTGACAGGGCCTTTATGGTCTTACCAAGCTGTGTGGTCTCTGTTGGGTTCCTTCAGGGAAGAATCCAGGGATATCAGCTGCTCCCCATGACTCAGCAGGGCATAGAGCAAAGATATTCCAAACTGCAAGTAATATACATAGTTCAGGACAAAATGAATTCACCATAGGCATTTAGCTCTGGTATCTTTCTAACTAAAGGACAGATTAACTTATAGATGGAGACCAATACCCACAGGAACTGTCAGATTTTACATTGGCTAGCCAAAGAACTCACACTGACCCAAAGGAATCACTGCTCTGAAGTTTCCACAGACCTGTCTTTGAGAGCTGATTAAATGCACCCTCCTGAACTTTCACCCAGGAATCAGTGTATAGATGAAGTGTAAATCCAGAATTGGATGTAGGGTAGTCTATGGACCCCATTTTAAGAAGCATAGTAGGCAAAGATTTTCAATGTGGGGTCATAAGATCATACACCAGAATGTTGGAACTTTTACATCTAGAGCCATATCATTTTAAACTTTATTGTATTTGCTGTATACCTATTATTACAGTGTTATATATTTTTATAAACATAGTATGGTTCAGAATTTCTTACTACAAGTCCTACAAATAAAAAATTGGAGACCTCTGCTATAGAGGTTTACACCAGCAGCAGCATTGGAGAACTTGTTTCAAGAGCAAATTCAGCTGGACATGGTGGCCAATCCCTGTAGTCCCAGTACTCTGGGGGACTGAGGCAAGAGGATCACAACTTTGAGCCACCCTGGGCAACTTAGTGAGACTTTGTTTCAATATAAAAATAAGAGGTAGGGGCATAGCTCAGTGTAAAGGCTCATGTTTCGGTCCCCAGTACTTCATGATGACCCTTTGGGTGTAGGACCAAGGAACTGGTGTCTCGTAAGCTCTCTAGGTGATCCTACACTCACAAGAGGATTGAAAGCATTACAGAAGGTAAGATTTGTGGAGAGGTAAGAACTTTCCCTTACTTATTCTCTACTAGAAACCATCCATGGGAAGAGCAAAATCTCCCAGATGTGCTACCTGGTTCTGAAGTACCACACTGACTGGGTGCTCTGAGGAGCCAGGGGGTAGCAGCATTAAGCCCTGCAGTCCTTGGAGGAGTTCGTGGAAGGTCAGATGACTGATACATTTTCCCAGAGGCTTGAATAACATATGTAGGGCCTGCAAAAAGGTCAAAAAGCTCTTCTTCTAAAGTGCACGGCAACTTCACTTCCTCCTGCCTTGCCTGTAGTCACTTCCATTTTTAGGAACTACTTTGGGCTTTTTGCCACAACCTGCACAGCCAGTGGGGTCCTGATGAGGGGTAATGGGAGATGAAAAAACTATAGACACATACTAAAAGGAAAGCAGGGGCCGGGTGGGACCTGACCTGTCTGATCATGAGGCAGTGACAGCCCAGTATGCTCTGCCTATGTATACAGGGTAAAAAGCAGAGAAGCGCATAACAGTGAAAAGTGCAAGGTCTCTATGTTTCACTGAGGACAATGAAAGCGAAGCATCCTCTAAGCTCTCTGTGCTGTAGTTTATGGAGAAGAACACCAAGGCCTGACACCTGCTGGACTGGCCTTGCTCTAGTCCCAACAACTCGTTCACATGGCTCACCTCTGGGGCTCCGTGTTCCCGGGGCTGGCCTTGCTGTAGCCTTGAATGAGTGGTCAGTCTCCAGCTCAGCTGCTCCCCACAGCCTTTTCCTAGTCAGGTTACTTCCTGGACTTTATTCCAATTACTCTTCATCTCCTAACTCAGAGTCCTTCAGGCCTCCCCTGTTCTATGGCGCCTTCCCAAAGGGCTCAACACCTGGGGGGTTGTGCTTGTTTTCTCCCAAACCTTCACAGCACAAATCTGTGCAACCACACACCTATTTTATTTTGCTCATCATGCTTGATGATCTACTCTTTATGTAGTAGTTTGTTCTGTAACTAAATTCATCACTTGAGAGTGGTGAGACTGGCCCCACTCCTGTCAGGCAGGCACTTTTTTGGCAATTCTAGGGGATAGAGAATGGAGGGGAGGCAAGACCTTTAACACATTCAGAAGGCCATCTTTTCCTACACTGAATTCATGGTACCTGGTCGGTCACATCTCTCCGGACCAAGAAGGGCAGATGGTGGGTAATAACCAGAAGAAGGCTAACAGCCTGATCAGGCAGCAGAAAAGGCAACAGCCGGGCCACCAGGGTTTTCCCCTTCTTCACAGAGAGCACCTGCAAGAAGCTATCTGCTGCTTCCCTGCAGGGGGAGACAAGAGAGCATTTTCAGAGCTTAGAACGCAAAAGAGGGCCATAAACCAGGCCTGGTGGCGTATTCCTGTAATCCCTGCACGCTGGGAGACTGAAGCAGGAGGATCATATGTTTGAGCACAGCCTCGGTAACCCAGTAAGACCCTGTCTCAAAACAATACCAAGGGTCAGGATGGGCTGGGGATTTAGCTCAGCAGCTTAAGTGCCTTCCTGGCAAGTGGCATTTGTGAGTTTGATCCTCAGTACCAACAAAACAAACCAAAACAAAACAAAAAAACCAACAAAGGGTCAGGATGTAGCTTAGTGGCAGAGCACCCCTGCGTTTGATTCCCAGTTCAGGGAGAGGGAGGGAGGACAGAGAGACAGAGACAGAAGGCTACATGCTAGGAAGGAGGGAGAGCAGCAAGACCAATAATTGGCTGCTGCCGTCCTGGTTCTCCCCCTCACTCACTCCAGCTTGTTCTCTTCCTGGGTCTTTAAGGCCTGGAAAAGCTTCTCAACCTGGTTGGTCTGCTGCTCAGAGTTGCAGGACTGTGGAAGCCCATCCTTCTGGCCCTCCTCTATCTCTAGTAACTGCAGGAACATCTGGGAATTTGAGGGTGGAGAAAGAAGAAAGAGGCAGTTTTGAGCATGCTCCCATTCTCAAAGGTAACTCAGGAACTCCTCCCCGAGAAAACCTATCTCACCTTCTCAATCCTGCATAATACCCAAAGCTTCTGACTGCATGCAGCTGCTGGATCCTAGGAAAAGAGAGTCTATGGGCAGGGCATGGTGGTGCATTACCTGTAATCCCAGCACTTGGGATGCTGAGGCAGGAGCATCACTATGAGTTCAAGGCCAGCCTGAACTACAGAGAAAAACTCTCTCAAAAAAAGAAAAAAAAAGTCTCTGGCCGCTAAACCACAACCCCACAGCAGCAGCCCAGGCTTCATATTAGCTAAACATTGGGCTGGAAAGACTAGACATAAAGTCATGGTCTTGCTGCTTCTTCACTCTTAGGTTGTAATCTGAACCCAAATAAGGTTTCTAGACCTTTCTTTGGGATAGGGGAGAGAAAGAAAAGTTCTGGGAAGGTAATGTTCCTACCTGCTCTTGAGTTCCATGAGATACAGCGTCAATAGCTCGGCGAGGACTAAAACATGTTGATACAGCTACTTGGCCCAGGGAACCCTCAATTCGAACCACTGTAAGTGAGGAGTTAGGAGGGATACATTACTCTTCCCTTTCCACCGCCGTCCACCCAGAGGTCCACTCCTCATCAATAGATCAGCCCAGTCCTACCCGACTCATAAGCCTCTGCCTTCTGAATGTAAGGTGTCACCAACATAGGAGACTGAACTCTGTTCTTTTGTCCAAGTAGTTCTTCATCTGCCTTCTTCTCTAGTTTCTGATAATATTTCTGAGAAACCAAGAACAGGAAAAAAAAATCTATGTTCATCTTCTGAATTAAGAATTTAGACTCTTAGTATAACCTCTTAACACATCCTCTCCCATAGCAATCATTCTGGAAATGATCCCGGCACCTCAGCCTTCCTAGCAGCAATTCTAAAGAGTTAAGCTCTGTGTCACCCGTTTGGAGAGATTCTCATACCAAGTACTTGACAAGCTAGGTAACAGTACAAGGTCCAGTGACAGGGCAGAGAACAAAGTGTATAGCGCCATGAAGGTCATCTGGGTCAGCATCTGCAAGCGTATAACATTCTTTGTTCCAAGCAAATGCATTACACAGCATCTGTCCTCCTCCTCACTCTGATCTGATGACCTGCCTGCCCTTTCCTAAACCAGAACTTATTTGACAACCTGAGGCCCATACACAGCTCAACGTCCAGAACTAGCACTACAGGTGCATTTGTCAGTTGGCTTCTGAACCAGTTTTATAAACTTGTGGGTTTGCTCAGTGGCTCTCACATCTTAAAACAAGTGAACAAATTCTACAAATAACTAAAAACCATTATGAGTTAAAAAAAAAGAAAAAGAAAGAAAGAAAAAGAAAAGAATAGGCCTTTCCATTTAGGAGCAATCCCAAAAAAAGCGAGAGTGCAAAACTTACACTTTCAGTGATCCTGGCAGAAAGAGGAGGATTTTTTAATTGGTGGAAAGAAAAGAAAGTAACGTAAATGAAAAGGAGGTAAAGGTGGAACATTGGTAGGAAGCTCATGGATGTTTGGTAACCCATGGAGAAAACATACACCCCATAAATAAAAGGAAGAGAAGCGGCAGGGGGCAAAATGTCTGCCAGCATTTGTTTAATTCAACAAATTGAATCTCACCAAGATCCCTGTTCACGTATTTATATTGAATTTTGCTATTTTGAGACAAGGTCTTGTTTTGTAGCTCAGACTGGCCTAGAACTCATGCCAGTCTCCTGCCTCAGCTTCCTAAGAGCTGGAATTATAGGAATGCATTACCACACTTGGCAAGATTCCTGTGTTTCAGATGTAAAAAAAAAAAATGGGTGAATGTTTGCAGCAAGATATTTCTAAGCCTCACAAAAGTGTACAAACTTGGGAAAGTTCATACTTCTAAGGTGAATAGGGAAATTTCTCAGCAAAGCCCAAGTGTTCAGGAAATTGCAAATAATCCCATTTGGCTGAAGGGTAGGCTAGAAAGGAAAGAACTTGAGATGCCAACCCTAGAAATGATTCTTGGCTTGTAGTGCTTATCTCTCCCACCTGAAGAGATGCAGACTTTGTGTGTTGAAGAGAGGATCAGAAAAGATTCCAAAAATCTCACCTTCTTTGGCCCCCAAATTCAAAGCTGATGCAGTTACCAGGGACTCACCTGGTAGTAGTAATCATTCAGATGGGGGTTCTCACTCTGCAGCTGAACCATCTGCACTTTTATCACCCAGTCCTTCTCTTTTCGGGTCATGAGGTTAGCATAGGGGTCCTGCTGCTGAAGCCAAGTCTTCTTGCCTGGGGGACTTCAAGCCAGGAGGAACATTCCTTTAGGCCTAGTCACCCCTGCCACAGTGGGAGAGTGCGGTTCTAGACAGTGGCACCGGAAGATGCATGGTCTCTAGAGTGCACCCAGCCTGCAGACAGGCTCCTTTGAACCTGCTTGTCCTTGTGGCTTTACCTTGGTGTTTGGCTCTGTTGCTTCTGTTGCTGCTGTTGCTCCTGCTGCTGCTGCAAGATCCTTTGGTGCTGAGGGTGGAGCTGGGTCAAATGACTGAAAAAGAATCTTCAACTGGGAGGATGAAAGCTCTCTGCTCCCCTGCCCCTCCTGAGTAATTTCCAGTGGACATCCAACGGCTTCCTAGTTGTTTACCCTTCCCCCAACAGAAAAGAACATTTCTAACTCCCTATCAAGATATATTTTCCTGCAATTTGGCTGTAGAAAATCTGACAACAGAGGCAAACTTTGGCCTGGTTGTCAGTTGTGTCATGCTAGCCAACTCCAAATTTCTTCATCTGGGAGGGAGGAGAGATTGTACTATATTTCGAATTTCTGTATTTGGTTTATCCAAGTATTTTTCTGTGGTAGCTGTTAGAGTGACCCCACACTTTCTCAGCCATCACCTCCTGCAACCTCTAGAAAGAACTAAGCTTGTCCTGTCACTGTAATCCCTGGCCCCCAGAACCAGTACCTGAACCTAGAGGGCCACGAGGTCAGTGGGTTGCAGAAGAGAGATGGATCTAGCAGGGGCTGTTGAGGTTCAAAAGGCTGAGGCAGAGAGCCAGTGCTGGGAAACATAGGCTGGAAAGGAAGTGGCCACAGGCAGTACAGGGCTGAGAGGCATCCACAGGTGGGGGCCCATCTGCCAAGAGCAGCTGCTCCGGGTCAGCGTCTCTGCGGCCTCTATGTGCTCACCTTTTCCCTTGAGAACAACCCCCTCCCCCAACATTTTGTTGTGCTGGGGATCCTTCAAGTTAGCTGTGAGTGCATCAGGTGGTGGTTCCTGGCTTTTTAAAGAGGCCACCCTTAAATATACTCGCACAGCTCTAGGGAGCTGCTCTGCAACGGAACATAAATAAAGGCCAGGGCTAGGAACTGGAAGAGAAGCATTTCTCACGTGACCACTACCAGCCACCATGTGTGCACAGTGTGACCTTGTGGCTGACACCCACCGCCTCTTACAAGTCAGGTCATACATTCCTGACAGCGTGGGGGTTTGTGTGCTTCCCAACATCACAGTTATCCTCTAAGTCTTCTCCCATGCTCTGTGTCTTTAGCCACCAAAGCAGCACTCTCTGTTCCGAGTCACCTGAAGCCCTCACTGAAGCAGTTCTAGTTCTTCCTGTAGCCATCTCCTGGTCTCTGAGTCCTGCCCTTCATGTCCCCATTATACAGTTCATTGAGGGTAATTGCTCTCGTCAACCCTAAATTTAGTGCTGCTCATCTGCTGAAACCTTTCATAGGCTAGGAATGGTCTCTCATTTTTCTATATGAATGGTCAGTTGTCCCAGGACCACTCAGTTCATCTGCACTCATGGCTGGGCACACAATCTGCTATTTACCAAGCTCCTCTCTATGTTGGGGCAGCTCCCAGCCCCACTCCTCATTTGGGGTGCTTATCTCCAGAGCAGAGAGAAGGGTAGAGTGGACATGATGGCAGAACACTCAGCATGCTCAGGGGTGAAATCCTCTTCACCACCCAGGCAGCTCCTCCCAAGGAGCAGACTCACCTGGCACAGAAAGTGCACGGAGGCAGGAGACATCCCCAGCGCACCAGGGATCTTGGCTCCAGGAGAGCTGAATAGACCTCTCTGGAAGAGAAAAGAGGAAAACAGGCTCAAATGTGCTGTCTTCTACATTCACTCGGGTCCACAGGGACATAGGAAGAGACATAATGCCAGCCATTTCAATGGGACAGTGGCAATCTGGCCTTTTTCATATTCAAAAGACACCTGGGCCAGGATCCTGCTTTCCCCGTAAAAGCAAGACTAGTATCTTAGAAGAGGCTGAGGGAAAGTCTGAGCCACCCCATTTCCACATGGTAGTCCTCGTCTCTTTCTGCTGGTTATGGACACTAACCAAACACAGGGACTCAGGTAAACATGCCTCATGGTAGCAGAATCACCACCCATTGGAGAGTGCACAGCCAGGCTAAGCCCTGGATTTTTTTCTTTGTTTCCGCTTTTTCAAGACAGGGCCTCACTGTGCAGCCCAGGCTGGCCTTGAACTCTCAGCAATATTCTGTCTTACCCTCCCAAGTGCTGAGATTATAGGCATGTGCCACCACACCTGTCTAGGCCTGTTTTTAAAATGAAGACGACATCAGAGACTGGTGGCACCAAGAGGGAAAAGGGAGAGGGAGTCCCTAACTCAGGCTCAAACCTGAAACAGAAAATGTTAAATTCAGAAGCTTAGCAGCGGCAGAGGAGAGGGTAAGCAAGTTGCACCACAGTCTCAGCTGTGAACAGTTGGGGCTGACCCTTTCCCCACCTCCTGCTTGGCACCTGGGTATAATGGGTGGCCTCCAGTACAGCTGGATCCCCAAGATCATTCTCTTCTCCATCTGGGTCTGGGACCAAATCTGGATCTAAATCCTCCTTTGCCGCCTTGTGTTTCTCTTCCTCTTCCTTAGGAGTCGAGGAGCCACAGAACTTGCCTGGCCTTCGGTGTAAGCGTGGGCCTGTGGAGGAAGAAACGGGCTCAGTGTGACGAGTATGGGCTAGAGTGGCTGCTACTCAGTAATTTCTGTTTTTTAGTCATCTCTAGAAGTATCTTTGACCACTACCTCCATTCTAAGGGTTCTCAGCTCCCTACCTCCCCGTACCTCAAACCATCCCCCCACTAAAGCAAACAACCTAACAGGTGCCAAGGTTCACTTGTCACACTGCCTCTTTGATGACTCACGAGGGCCTCCCAGGTTTTTCTCCAGCTGTTCTCCTCCACCACACAACCTCTTCGGTTGTCTTTTTAATTGAACAAGTGCAAGCTGCTCTGATTCAATTTAACCCTGTGTCCCAGATACATTACACGTATCTTCCTCGAACAGTCATGCCAGGCTGCCAGAGCTGTTGTAATTTTACTATGTGAGTAAGGAAAAAAAGTCTATTAATGTGATTTCAAGTCATCCAGTGTGATGTGGCCAGCAAGTGGAAAAGTTTGGAATCGCTTCCACTAACTTCTGGGTGCCCCAGTTTATGCTTATACACACTAGCAGGCCTCTGTATCTGTAACTTTTTGGCCCACTTGGTTATACCTTCAAGACATTTCATCTTGGTAGGCTGGCAGGCTTCTTTTGGGTCTGTGTCCTCCACTGAATAAATACTGTCAGCATCTAGAAGGTAAACCTGGGGCAGGGAAGAGACTCGGGTAAACAGCCACCCTTAAATATACCCGCACAGCTCTAGGGAGCTGCTCTGCAACGGAACATACATAAAGGCCAGGGCTAGGAACTGGAAGAGAAGCATTTCTCACATGACCACTACCAGCCACCATCTGTGCACAGTGTGACCTTGTGGCTGACACCCACCGCCTGATTGTTGCCATCCTTGCTTAGGGAAGCCATGGCACTCTGGGCCAGGGCCTGGTTGCTGCTCTCAGCTTTAAGGAGGCCCAACTCCTCCCCACCCTCACTGTTAAAGGGCCAACATCCCCCAACCACTGTTATCCACATCCTTCATTGGAAATTTGAGATTGCATTCCACTTAATCTCTAGGTTTTGCTCCAAGAAAACTAGATAGGGAAGCTCTATGTACACTTTGATGAGAGTGCTTAATGACCCCAGTGCCTGTATCTTCGGGGAAGTCTACTTCAGGCACTTTGAAGTCTGTCTTGTGCAACTGACACTGGGTTGTGTGAGTTTAAGTCTCCTACCCACTTCACTGAGAAAGGACTCTTCTGAATTTAGAATCTAGATCTTTAAGGTAAATTCACTTTTTTCTTGAAGTAATACAATTTTATCTCTTCTTGGCTGCTCTAATGGAAAACTGGTCCAGAAGCTCAGGAGAAAAACAAATTATCAACCACAGAACAACTAGTTGCCACTGCTGCTTGTAAACAAAACAAAGACACATCTGAGTTTATCTAATCCCTTAGTGACCTCATCCTATTTCATTGTGGGCCCACATCCTGTCGGCAGTTGACATACATATGACTTTGTAGCATTTCTGCATAAAAAGTAAGTCAACTCCTCCATATCAGAAATTAAAATAGAAGCTTACTGTCACAGTTATAAGACCATGATTTTGGTATTTCTAAAGGAAAACATTATTTCAACTGCAGCAAAAATTTAAGTAGCTTGATAGTGAAAAATATTTAAAAATATTTGAATTGAGCTTAGGGCTTTTTAAAAAAAATTAAGTTTAAAGGGGCTGGAGATTTGGCTCAGCGGTATAAGCAGCTGCCTGACAAGTGCGAGGTTGTGGGTTTGATGCATGGTATCAAAAAAAAAAAAGTTACCGGTGTATTTTAGGTATACATAATAATCACATTCATCACAGGGAATTTGTACCTGTGCAGGACATATCTTGATTCCTTTTTTTTCCCCATTCTACTCCCCTCCTTTTAACCCGACTCCCTCCCTATTTACAAATGCTGTGTTTCCATTTCTTCCTTCTTTTCTTGTTTATTTTTCTTTTCCTTTCCTTCTTTCCCCCCTCTGTCCCCCCCCCCCACCATTCCCTTTTCCATTTGAACATTGTCTTCAGTTTAGTCCTTTTTTTTTCTGGTACTGGGAGTCAAACTCATGACCTTGTGCTTGCCAGGCAGGTGCTGTGCTGTTGAGTTTTATCCCCAGCCTCTTTTGCTAATTGTATTCAGTTGTTTATTCCAAGAACTTCTAAATAATTTACTTTGGCATTATGGAGAAAAGCACCAAATGTGAATTTCAGTGTCCCAGGAGGGATTCATTTAGGCGTTTTGAGAGACTACCTCTTAGGGAGAAACAATTCCCACATGAACATTTTCATTCTGAAGGATCTGCCTGTAGGTAGCAGTACCAAAGTGAGTAGATCTGTAATCACAGCACTCTGGGAGCTGAGGCAGAAATATCACAAATTCAAGCCCAGCTTGGGCAGCTTACCAAGGCCTTGCCTCAAAATAAAAAATTAGAAAAGGGCTGAAGCTGTATTCAGTGCAAAGGTCCTGGGTTCAATCCTCAGTACCAAGGAAAGAAAAACATTTCTAGCAGGCAGTGTGCTGTTCACTGTGCCACAAGCAAAATGAAACCACAAAGGAAGAGTGGTTTTAACTGTAAGGTGATTTTCAGATGCTTTATTATATTTCTAATTTTAACATTGTAATTAGTTAAATGGAAGAACAAACTCAGCTCAAGCTTCAGCTCCCGCAGGAAACCTTCTTAGAGACCATCCTTTCTTACAGACTGAGTGATTAGCTGCCCTTTTTATGCGCCCTTTTTCTCATTGTGTCCACCAACTTCTAGTAATTTGGTTTTCTTTTAGATAAAGATTACTATTTCAAAATAATTTATGTAATTCTCCCCATTTTGCCTTACCCTTGCCTCTACTTGAATATGCAGAGTGTGTGTGTGTGTGTGAGTATGTGTGTATGTGAGTGTGTGTGTGTGTGTGTGTGTGTGTGTGTATGACTGGTCATTGAATCCAGAGCTCCACATATGCTAGGCAAGTGCCCACCCCTGAGCAACATCTCCAGTCTCGCAGGTCCACCTCTGTATTTGTCATCCTATGGCCTGTGGAAGAGCAGGAATGTGTCTTCTTTGTGCCCCCAGAACTTACCCCAGTATCTATGAGAACTGAAATGACAAATAGTGGTAGCCCGGCGTGTTGGTGCACGTTTAAACTCAGGATCACAGTAAGTGCAAAGCCGACCTGGGCTACACAGTGAGGGTAAGGTGAACCTGAACTACATGCTGAGCCCCTGCCTCAAAAAAAGAGAAAAAAGAAAAATAGTGGTGTTTCCTTTCAAAAACTTCTTCATACAGGGGTTCGTTGCTAGTGTGACAGTGGCTAGAATCAAAATGCAGTCACTGTGACACACGCTAACTAAAATAAAATGACGCCTGGGAGATAATAAGGGAAGGAACCTCATACCTGATAATAAGAACTGTTACAGCTAAAGCCACAACCTTATACAAAGTAGACCATAACCTTACACAGAAACCACTTCTCCAAGGACAGTTATCCAAAAATTGCCTGTAAATTACTATACTTTTTATTGATTCTGGTAGACAAAGATTACTATTTCAAAATAGCTTATGTAATTCTCTTCATTTTGCCTTACCCTTGCCTTTGCTTCCTTGAATATGCAGTTTCCTGTGGCATACATATTCCCATTGCAATGCTACTTTTGAATAAATTTATTATATTTGAAAAATCTCTATTGAGGTCAACACCAATCACCTGAATGTGTCCTAGTCCCTGCTCACCTTCCACATTGTTAATAAGGACATTTCACTCTCTCTCCCTCACTTTTTTTTTTTGAGACAGAGTTCCTATGTAATTCAGGCTGGCCTTGAATTCACTATGTAGCCCATTCTGGCCTTGAACCCATTGGCAATCCTCCTAGGAATACAGGCATGTGCCATCGTGCCTGGCCTTGTCTCCAAGAACATTTCTAAGAAAATCAATTTCATGATATTTAAGCTATAGTCATAAAAGAAAAAAAAAGATTTGATTTTAAAAAGTAAAGTCAGGGGGCTGGGGATTTAGCTCAGCGGCATAAGCACCTGCCTTGCAAGCAGGCGGTCATGAGTTCGATCCCCAGTACCGGTAAAAAAAAAAAAAAAAAAAAAAGTAAAGTCAATGTGCCAAAGTAAATTCTAGATGGACGATAGAGTAAAGAGACAATAAACAGTATTGGAAAACAAGATTTGCCAGCTACTCCTTTGACAAAGAACTAATGTCTAGAATGTACAAACAACAGAAAAATACTAGGTTCCCCAAACTGAAAGACCTAATAAAAAATGAGCATCTGAACTAGACACTACTCAGAAGAGGTATGAATGGCCAATAAATATATGAAACAATGTGCAACATCTCTGACCATTAAAGAAATGCAAATTAAAACAATACTGAATTCTTTCTTACTCCTGAAAGAATGGCGACTGGTATCACAGGAAATCACAGAATAAATGCTGAGGAGGGGGAGCTTCCGTATTGTTGGCAGGATTGTTAAGTAGTACAATCACTATGGAAATCAGTAATCAAAAAACTAAAAGTAGAAATTGCATTCATTCCATCTATTCCACTTCTAGGAATTCTCCCCAAAGAGTTAAAGACATCGTATCACAGTGATGTATACCTGCCGGGGACCATGATTGCAAATACACATAGTATCTGTGCGAGGCTCTCCATACTCCGCTTGTCTTGTGGGTCAGTCCCAGTCAATGAGATTATACCCAGGTGTGGGGATGGATCTTGACTCGTTTTTTTATTTTTTCTGTTTTAAAGAGAATTTTTAAAAAACCAATAAAAACAATTCAGAATTTCAAAGCAAGATGATAAGAAATTAACAATGGTCATTATAGTGCATATTATCTTCAAAATAACTGGTCAGATTACAAAGTAATTTGGTCAGATGTAAAATTGATCAAACAATATAAGCACTAACTGTTCCTTTCAATGAACTAATAGAATGAGTAGTACAATTATCTTAGCTGTGTTGTATGTACACCTATACACATATATAAATTTTTTCTGCTTTCACCCATCTTAGTTGTTCTTTCCTTTTGAGCAGTTTCTTTCCTTTTATAATATTTGTTGTACCTTTCAGACTTTATTTACTCTTTCACTTTCTTACACTAGGGAGACAATATGATGATCAGATGCACAAGTCTGATTTATTTCACGTATGACTATGGTCTCTAGTTGCATCCATTTATCTGTAAATGTCTCAAGTTTATCTTTCTTTACAGCTGAGTGGTATTCCGTTGTATAAAAGTACCACATCTTCTTTATTCATTCCTCCTTTGATGGGGCTTTTTTTCTTTATGATGTTAAATTTTGCTCATTCTACCACAGTGTCTGCGCTGTTTCAGGAAAAACACCCACTTCCCTTCACCATTGTCCTTGACTCAGATGTAATGAATAAATACCAAGGGGCTGGGTGCCTCATGGCCTTTTGTTCCTAGAGCGGAACTGGTGGTCCCAGATTCCTGCTATGCACTTGTCCACTTTCTCTGGCTCTTTCTTTCCTTTCTCATCATGCACTGAAACCCAGGCAGCAGATTGGAACCCACTGCAGGGGTCTCCAGTAACTGGCACTGTGGGAGGGTCTCTAATTACTGGCACCCGACATAGCCTGAACCCATGGAAGACTCACCTGCTGGAGACTTACTAAACGTTTTAAAATGGTGTTTGGATCTCACATGATGTCTGACGCAGAGCTAAGTGATTTTGACATGAGTAATAATCTCTGAGTAATAATCTTGCTGGGACTAAAACAGAAAGGGTAATTTCTTTAAAAGGAAATTTTTTTACTACTGGGCAATCTCATTCTTCAACGTCTCTCTCTTTAAAAATCTTTTTTTTTTTTAAAGAGAGAAAGAAAAAAATTTGAAGAACAAGTAGAAAAAAAGTAGAATACAGAAT